ATTCTGTGAAACTACAAATTACATCTTTAAATCCATCTGGACGTCGACAAATGAATAACATGAAAATATTAGCAGTGTCAAATGTTAAAATCAAATGAGGTAACATGAATGAATGAATCCACGGGGTATTTGATTTTGCTTAAATCTGTTTGACTTTCTGTCATTTGAACCTTCAGGAGTGCATAGTGGATGAGGACTGTGGGGACCTAAAATACTGTTTGTATGAGATTGAGAACTCCAGGTGCCTTCCCTGCATAGCAACAGATATGGTGAGAGCTCGGTCATCATTTTGTTCTATATTTGCTTCAGCTCCATGTGCAATCACAAAGCCACTACAACAAGATGCAGCGAGTCATAACGGGTGCTAAAACACTAACAGTGTTTTAACTTAATACAAAGTACAAGAATAATGCCTTGTACCCTTTTCTTGTTTTTTTGTTCTTTACAAAAAAACACCTCAAGGACTGAATGGAGAGCATCTGTGAAAGGCAATTATCAAGTACAGATTTCCATCTGAACATAGGACTAGACTCTGACTGGACCATTCTTTCCCATGATATGCTACCTAAATCATTCCAGTCAAGCGCTGGCACTTTGTCTAGCGGTAAGCTGGTGCTGTCTGGCTGGAAGATGAATATCCATCAGTCTTCTGTAGCCAGGTTTTCTTCTGAACTATTCCTGTATTTATCTCCCTCAACCTTCCTAATCCAAGTTCCTTTGGAAAAGCGTCACTCTGCCACCTCCAGCATTATACTTCCTCCACCATATTTTGGTGCAGCTCATTATATTTCTGAAATGATGTGGGGGAGAATTGTGTGAATGATCTAATAAAAGCTGTAATAATGTCTGCCTTTTTTTTTTTTTTTTTTAAAGTGGTGAAACGGTTTCTGGAAAGTGTGTTTCCCTTACAGCCATGCTCAAAGGATGAGGAGTGCTGCTCAGATCAGATGTGTGTTTGGGGTCAGTGTACATTGAACGCCACCCAGGGGACGGCGGGGACTATCTGTCAGGGTCAGAGCGACTGCAGGCCAGGTCTCTGCTGTGCATTTCAACGAGGTGATATGGAATATATATGTACAAGTCTAATTTTGCATCAGATACCATGTAGAGCAGGGGTCCCCAAACTACGGCCCGCGGGCCGGATCCGGCCCGCCACGTCATTTGGTCCGGCCCCCTGAACAATGCCGGATCCGGCCCGCCTCCTCATACCAGAGAGCATTCAGTGTTTTTTTTCATATATTGTATTTTCTGGTTTATATGTGGATTTTTCTTCAACCACCAGGGGGCTTGAGCAGATGTGAAACTAACTTTCCCTCAATGGAATATATACTAGTCAGTCACCGTTTCACTCACGGTTTTTTCCATTTGCATTCTGGGTAAAAATCTATCTAAAAGCGCGAATGTGTCGTCGCAACCTCCCCCCCTCCCCATCGACCAGAATTTTCTAAGGTTTCTTTCTCCAAAAACTAAGACCGGCCCCCGACCAGAGGAAGGAACAGCTATGTGGCCCTCGCAGGAAAAAGTTTGGGGACCCCTGATGTAGAGTGTACACTTTGAATGCAAAAATCTGTTTGTTTTAAATCTTTTTATATGTTGTTGTTTTTTTTTCATTAAATCTGTATTTATTGCATTATAGCAGTACAATTTGTAATGTTGAGGTTAAAAAACACAGTTTTCCTATACAGTGGTATTTTAGTCAGCACACATTCAAAAGTATATCAAACAAATGTGGATAAACACACAAAATTCAAGTCAGGTGTGCATTATTCAGTCAGTAGTCTACTCAGTGGCAAGTTTTCTACTATTGACTCTATGAATAATTATCAACAGTCTTTATCTTGTGCATAATTAAAAGAACTAAAGTGAGGATTTAAGATGCTCTGTGATACAAGTGAGCGATTAAAATGAATCCAGACTGACTTTCTTCCCCCTCAGAGTTTTTGTTTCCAGTATGCAGTCCCAAACCTGCAAAGGGAGAGTCCTGCCTGAACCACCCCAACCTTCTTATGGACATGCTGGAATGGGACCAGGAGGGCCCCAGAGATCACTGTCCATGTGTGGCCAACCTGCATTGTCAACCCCATGGGTGAGAACAAACGCTGAACCGCAAATTTGTTGGGTGCCGCCAACAACAAAAGTGACAAAGTTTTACTCCGAACTCTTTCTTTTTGCAGTCGTGGATCCGTGTGTGGAGAGTAGGACTGAAGGTGTAGAGGTTTCCAAAGAGTTCAGTTCAGTGTCACCATCTGGACGTCACCTGCATTCTTTGTACTATTTATGCTGAACTGCAAGTCTGTATTGAAAGACAAAAAGTAAATAAATGACTTTAATTTAGTTTTGACAGTTTTATGGTTTTTATTTGCTGGATCCCTTAAAGGGAGGAAATCTTGTCCTGGATGTTTCGATGAATTTCCAACATAAATGTTCAATCAGTTTTTATGCTTTGCCAGGTCAGCAAGCTGCTGCATCTTGGCTTTATCTTCCTGAAAAAAAAACCTTAGTGCTTGACCTGCTTCCAGTTTATTTTTCTTCTTTGGCCTGGCATGTTCTCTAGACTGTTTAACCTGAGCTATCCCCCTTGAATTCTTTTTTTTTTTTTTCTAGCGGGTGTCTCCAAACCATACATCACAGCAGGTCTCACTAATTTGAGCCAATTATTGTAGTTATCTCATGTCTTTTACCTGGTAGGAAATGCCACATGGATAGTTTAAAGATTTTTAGTTTTATGCCTCTGGACAAAATGCAACCTATTTTTTTTTTTTTTTTTTTTTACCAGAATAAATCAAATCACTTAAATCCAACCTCATGTCGATGATGACAAAATCACACAATAGATTCCAGATGGACATGTATTTAAAAAAAGAAAAAACAAGCTAAATTTAAGGTGGTTGGTAAAACTAGGCACACTGTTTTCTGTTTTAGTGAAATTTAAGAAGGGGAAAGAATTGGCCAGCGGTTGCTAATTGAAACACTTAGCTGATCTTGTGCTGCAAAACCTCAAAAGCAGGAGGTCTGGCAGTTTAACTCTGGAGTGTGTGGGAGTATTTTAGCATTACTCACCCCCATCAAGCCCCCCTTTTTCTTTTCTTTTTTTTTTTGTACAACTACTTGTGAGAACCCATTGCACCTCATGGGGCCCAAAAATGCTGCTTTTGCATAGGGGATTAGGTTTAGGACTAAGGTATGACTAAGGCAAAGTTATTGTGAATAAAGATGTGTTGACACAGTAAAAAGACATTAGAAATGACATTGCCGTAAAAGCAGTCATTGCTCCTCAGTCTGGAAAGTGTTATGAGCCATTTCCAACAAGGTGAAGTACCATCATTGAACAGTGGGGGAGGGAAATGTAAGATGGCCACCAATCTGCTCAGGAGTGCATATGCCAGCAAATTCACTCGCATTAAAATGCTCAGATGTTTGTGGGGCAGGGGTTCAGATACCAAGACTCGGTATTCGGGACAGGATAACACCTGAATGTTCCACAAGAATTTACAGGTGAGACAAAGTAAAGGTTGCCCATAATGCACAGCCCCATGTCTGGAGAAATCCAAATGAGACATTTCAGCATGGACATTTTGTACCAACTGTCCAGCATAGCGGTGGAGGGGGGGCGACGGCAATGACTTTGTCTTGTTCGACAGCCACAGATGAACTTCTCTGAACAGGAATGCCTTCTTGGATCAAAAGTTAGGCAGTCTGCAGAACAGCTAAAGACTGCCCCAGAATGATTCAGGTGAAACATAACAATTATACAAATGTATAATTGGACTTATTGCAAAACAAAGAATGTTTACTTTTTTTCTTTATTGATTGTTAGTTTCCCAGTAATTTAACTCCTTGCATCCCCACCAAAAAAACATGGTGGCTTTTGAAAGGAAGAAAAAAAAAGTTATACAGCGATAGACTGTTATATCATTAAGTATTGTTCAATGATTTCTTGCTGAAAGTCCTCGAGATATACTGATGAAATAATCAGTGAAATGAAATCCATAGCAATTTAAAATCTCTGAACACGAGGGGGCACTAAACGGCAGAAAGGGAAAGATGACTGGCTGATAACCGCATGATCATTACGTGGTCAGATGCCGATCTCTGCCTTGCAGTGAGCTCTCATGCAGAAAACAAAAGGCCTTTGTCAGAAGTTTGGATTTGATCTGTTTTAATTCACACTTTCATTGTTTGACTATGTTAAAGTCTAAAGATTTTTCTTTGAATTTGCGCAATGGAGCCTTTCTGTGATTAATAAAATATATTTTGAAAAGTAATTGTGTTCAATGCTGCATGGACAGTTTCTTTTTTTCTTCTTCTTCAATAACAGTGTTATTGGATACAATCTGCATATTTTCCCCAAAGAGGATACAGGCCAGTCAGCATAGCAGTGTACACAACACAATCAAGAATTAAAACAAAGATAAAAGTGAGAATCTGCACTATGCAAGATTCATCAACAACGTTTAACTAAGTATAAGTATAAGTAATCAGCCCTCAGTCGAAGTTATTTTACTAACTATATGTATTTTTTTTGTGAATACTTGTGCCACCCCTCTTTCCTTCACTTTGGCAACCTGGTCTCAGTTCTTAACTGCGTTTCTGAACGAGTGGACTTTATCACATCACGTTGTCCATATGTGTCTCTTGGCGCTTAATTCAGACAGTGTTATCATTTGCAGGATTAAAGGATACGAATGGTCTGGGGGACTTGTTGGAATTTCGTCTTAAATCCTTATATTTCCTACTTTCCAGTGCAACCACCTGTTTAGTTATTTTGAGGTATTTCAAATAAAGGTTTTAGCTTTAAAAAAGAGCCAACGTGGTTATGTAATTAACTTTTTGTTCACCGCATTTCTGTCTAAGTAAATCAAACTTCAGTTGAAGATGCTGAGGTCTCTGTAGTTTTATTTAGGGGAAACAGATTGTGAATAAAATAAACAGGAGTGAGACATCGTCTTTTTCACATCTATGTCGGACACCGCTGCCGGGTGACGTCACGGCGGTTTATTTATGCTGCAAGCTTCCTGCCGAGTCTGGTTACTCTATCTGCCTCTTAGCGGTGCTCGTTGTTACTCCGCCTCTTCGCGGATCACACCACGTTTCCAACCGGAGGAAAAAAGTCGACCTCCCGTTTTTTCTGGGTACGTACATGCTTTAAATGTCGCCGCCATCAGCCGTACGGGGCTTTTCATCGGGGGCTGAAACACTTGTTACCGGTTTTCAGAGGGCTTAATGCCTCGCGCCGCTACCACCAGAGCGTGTTTTAGGAAGAAGATGCGACAGGAGGAAGAGGAGGGAGGGGTGGCTAAAATACTACGCTGTGGGAAATACGCAAATATGTGGAGCAATTTGGAGTTCCTTTGATTAAGGTCGACCTCACATTAGCAGAAGTCACAGCTGCGCTGGTTTTAAGAAATATTCTAAATTTTCATTTTTTTTTTAACTCCTACTATTTTTTTTTCACCGAAATGAGGAAGATATAATTGGTTTCAGTGTTTCGGTGTTCATTTAATTAGCTTCAGCTCATCGAGTTTTCTTCGCCACTCCTCACTTTGGAGTAATGTGATTACAGGCTGTGAGAGCGGTAGAAATAGACAACGAGTTTTGGTCGTGATGAGGATGTTGCGTAGCTGTATGTAATGAGAATCACGGGATCCGTTGTTTTCATGTTTGCAGTATTTACTTTTTGTCCCCAATTTATAATTCCACCCCACAATTTTAGTAAATTTCTATGATGTAATGCGTAAGTAAAGTTCTCCTTTTATACATCGAGAATTACGCCATCATTTACCAACGTGTTGAAACGCTGTAAGATTTCTGACGCAACAACTCTAAAATGCTGTGAGAGGCATGCCAACCAAATTGGCACACATTCGAATACAGCCACTTTCAAGTCAAGAATCTGTGTAATCAACTTTTGGTTGCAATTTGCAGGTCCTTTTGGGGTACGACTCTACCACATTGTCACATCTAGAGAACATTTTTTTGTGCAAAATATCTTTCTTTTGGTCAAACTTGTTGAGGTATAGCCATCCTCTCAGACTGGCTTTTCTGTCTCGGCTGAGGAGAAGTTTCCCTACAGCAAGAGGCCGCTACCACTGTTTCACAAACACGATGGTGTGTTTTGCATGCATGCCAGATAATTAGATTTAGGACTCGCCTGACTGTGGCACACTACTCAGTTATTAAGTATAGCTGCTCCCCACCACTTGAATTAATTTGCGCAGTCTCAACGGGTGATTTCAAGGTTTTATTTATTTTTCTTTGATGTGGATCGTCACAATCACCACATCCTCAGTCACTGTGAAAACTAAAAACATATACGTTTTATTTCTTTACATTTTATTTCTTTAAATTTACAATACAAACAACAAAACAAAACGTACCTCGCTGCTTTCAGTGGGGAACACTAAGTGTTGATTTCGTTATGTCAAGCGCATCTTGACAGTTAAAATCATTCATTACAATGATTCTGCCAGCTTTTGTAGTCCTGCCTTCATTAGCTACAGCAGCCCATGAGGTACATGCAAACAAACAAACAAAAAAACCCCAAAACATTACAAAGAGCAAATACCATCAAACAAAACAAAATACAAACCAACAGTGCTAATCAAAACATCATTAAACAATCTGCAACATCTTTAATTTAGAAAATTCACTTTAAATAATTTACAATACATGGTCTACAAATTTAAATAATTTAGACAATTTATTTTAAATAGCTCACTATCCATTACAATTAGTTAAAACGCATAGAAAAGCCTTGCGCCCTTCAGTTGAGAGCTGCTTTGTGTTGGTCAGTCGCGTTAAGTTAAATTCATTGAAATCAATGGCAATATGTTCAAAAGGAAAAGGATGAGCACTGTGGGACAAGATAAGACAAAGTGCTTGAGAAATACAGATTTCCTGATTGCCTTCATGAGAATGATTTGACCTGTAGTACAAGTGTGCTCCAGTCATCTGGAAAGATGTGCTGTTGAAGCAGGAACCATGGGGAGTAGGTCGACATTCGTGACTAAGATGAAGAATGCTGTTGCACAGGGAACATGCCATTCTCTGTGGTGCTCAATCAATGATCAATTGGCTGTCACTGGGCAGCTTTTTGTTTTTTTGTGTGCAACATCACAAATAATTGAAGTAGATGGCTGTGTTATCAGTTGGGAGATTTTCACCTTATGAAACCCCCCCTGAGTAAAAATAAATGTTTAATTTTCATACATGAGCCCAGGCAAATTTGTTTTTCTAAGTTTAGTAGTTTTGAAATGCTCACACGACAAAATTTTGAATTTTTTTTTTTACTATTCTAAAAGTATAAAAAGTTGTATATTGGAAGGTTAAACGGAGACAGCTGAGTTAAAGGCAATGCAAATCTGCAGCATAAAATACATTTTAGAAACGCTCCTCACCAGCTACACCTGCAACCAGATGGAGGTGGGACTCTGACTCGTGGTTTCTGACGAACCTTGTCAAACTGGTTCTGTTTAAACGCGGAGGCTATTTTAATACAACTATTCCCAACAAAGAACTGTACACATCAGCACAATGCGTCGTGTGACAGTTTTGGTAGAAAGCAGCTTTGTTTTATTCCATAGCGCTGGAGAAAAGTCCTGTTTGTATGTCAGTTTCTTTGGCGTCTCATTAAAAAGCACCGTGAACTTTTAGGTTCAGTACTAAGAATAATTTTAAGCACTTTTGGCACGTTTTAAAACTTTGGTCCATCTTTGTTGTACCTGTAACTGGCCTAGCTGTCACTTCTCTGTTTTTCAAAGCAGAACATTCCCCGTTTTAAAATGGCACATTGAGTTTTCCTGCATTTATTTGTCCAATTAAAACAATCATTCGGTATCTTTATTTCTTTGTAGTAGTGGAATCGCTCTCCTGAGACCACTTATGGAACCTCTCATCTATTTACAAACTCTTTATTCCACAAGTGCCCAATTTAGTCATTATACCACATCGCATCAATTATTTATCCTGAAAGCATCAGGGATCAACTTGCTGCCTCTTCACAGACACTTGATCAAAGGCCGCAGAAGCTTCTGGCTGGGTCCCGGGTTGGCCTAAGATTACAGCTTTGTTTGCTAAAATCAGTCATGCATTAAAGCATACATATACGTTTGTCAATATAATCTTACAAATTCTATTATGCACAACTGGTGTTTGCAGAGAGGCATGTAGAAATTCTGTGACGATGAGATCTCTGTTTAAACATGTTGACAGTTTCTTCTGTCAGTGTTGTTGTAGTTAAAATTCATGAAGATTACAAGGAACTATTTGCAGAAGGGTTTGGTTAGGAACTTGGCCCCCATCCCATCTTTCTTCCTCAATGTTTTAGAGATAATTGTACATGTACCAAGTATCCTTAACCTTAAAGAGAAACAGCAGTTTTTAGCCCGAGTGTTCGAAATCCTACCTAATTTATGACTTTTAAACTGGGATCAAAGTAAAAATTTTTGAGCGTTGGGTGGGGGGAGGGGGAGCTTTAGCTGTAACCCTTATGCTTTGCATTGAGAGTGAGCGTTACAACTGCACAGTATGTCAAGTAACAATAGTCTCTGCCAAAGACGCATTACACCTTGTTAGTTTATTACAGATGAGTACACACCCACAGTGGAATGTTTGACAAAAGAAAAAAAAAAAAAACTACATATAGTATGCTAATAATGCAAAAATGCTGTATTTCTACAGCTCAGATTTGCAAAGATCTTGTGACATCTGAGGGAATGTTTTCCAGAAGGGATATTCAATTCCAGTAGTAGCTGAAAAGGGGCTATCATAGTGGAGAAAAGTCTGAAAATCTTATCTGCTACAAATGATCTTTAACAGACTTAAACTGGATTTTGGGTAATAGTTTGGAAAAATGACTGTGTCCTCCTCTGCTCTCTGACTTACTACACTAGGAAATGAAAGCCTTTATGTCCTCTCACATTCTCTCCAGTGTTTTTGAAGCTATTATTGACAAATGTCAAAGATCTCCCTCTTCTTCTTGTCTCGCTAAAGAATGTGTCGCCGATTTCAGATGGTCATAAAGATCCCGATTGTTTGATGAAAGCTGTTTGTTCCATTATCTTTAAATAATCCATAAATGAATGTTTGTAATCATCCAACAAATGGTGCAGGCAGAAGACTCCTAACTTTTGTCGATCAGACTGTACAGTTAACATTTAACCTGAATTCTGCTGCAGCAACGGCTCCCACTGAGGATGGAGAACTTTTCTAGCGTCGCGTACAACTCGCTTTGTTAAAATATGCCATCTTTTGTTAATGGAGAACTGGGTTGCATGGTGGGGCAGAAGTTCTTCTCCCCAGTTCCCTCGTGTTCACTAGTGTAAAAATATAGTCAGCTAAGCAAACGGGTTGAATACGATGGAGAAGCGTCGAAGTCGGGAAAACTAAAGTGTTACTTTCTTCCACTGACAATTAATAGATAATACCATAGTCTGTCACCTCCTCTCTTATAGCTGCATATTTATATCTTTGTTCTAAAACTTTGAATCTTTTTTTTTTTTTTCCCCAATTTTACCTGTTATCCCAGGTCTTGTCTATGTTTTAGACGACAGTGTGGATTATGCAAACTATCAAAATAACTGTCATAGTAATGAGTGTAGCAGAAAAAAAAAAAAGAAATGCAGAGCAAAAACTGAAAAGCATGTCTTAAAGCATAAAAAAATGAAGGATAGCATTAAAATGAGCCAAACATTTAAAAATTTGAGCTTCAAGGTTAAAAAGATGTTTTCTAATGAGCTTTATTTCTAAAATTTCAATAAAAACCTCATTGTGTGAATGGTAGCATAGTCTTAAAGAATCTGCCATAAAATGCTGAAATGCATATATATATATACACTTATATCAGTGGTAGTATCATGCTGTTCCAGAATCATCCTAAAAACAGCGAGGATTACAATAAAAACTCTTCTTATACAGTTGAATTATGTACCTAATTGGATCAAACTACTCACCTTTTAGTAGTTTGATCCAAACTACCAATTCTTGCCTGTTTAGCAGCCAAACTGTAGCTTTTCACAAACCATAAAGGTGAGCCGAACTCTCTCGCACAGGCTGACTCCCCACGACAAGTCGAGTTTGTGTTTGCATCAAGTAGAACCAACAAAGAATGTCAAGAGTTATTTTACTTTACAAACATGTTGCCCAACTATTAACCCATCAGCTGATGCTGAAAACACTGAATTTTTTGCTTGTCTGTTTTGCATTGCCGTGCTTCCAAAACTCAATCGGCAATCACTACGCTCTGGAATTTTCCTCATTTTATGAGAAGGGGACAAGTGATGCGTTCAGGAGCACTAAGGGCGACTGAGCTATCAGGAAACTGGATGCAGACGGGCAGAGGTTGCTATGGAAATTTAAACTGACATGTCACAGGAAATGTATTCAGTGTGTCGCTCCACCTCAGGAGGGCCAGCTGTCTACTTTTGAGCCTTTCTACACACTTTTTAAAAAAAAAAGACTATTTACTTAATTACGCTGTAAGGATCACTTGTGGCAACATGGTGGTGTTTGCTGATAGGTTTGCTGCACCATGAATGAAACCAAGGAAACATTTAATGCTAACCTCCTAAAAGTAAGGCTCTAAGGTCAAACTGTTAAGTGAAAACGTTTCTAATATTGGCCCAACATCTGCTGTTTTTTTTTTTTTTTGTTGTTGTTTGTTTGTTTTTTTCCTTTTTTCATTTTTGTTATTTGCCAAACAAAAAAATATCTGTTGTGATACGGGCCTGCTGTCTAGCTTGTTTCGACTGAGTGTTGTGTATTCAGCTTGGCTGCGGTCGCAGCGGCGCTCCGACAGGCGCTCAGCTGGAGCGAGCCGCTTGGCACTCGATGCGATGCAGCAAACGATTCATCCGCAGCTTTCAACTGTGCTGGGATCCACAGAGCTGTTCCTCGTTTCGTTCCGTAAGAGTCGCCAAGCCTACGCAGCCCGTAGTAGAGCTGTTGTCATAGCAGCATGAAATACTGCATTAATGTCCCCTCTTTCACTAATAATTAGTGTTTGTTGGATAATTATAATCCACTGTTGTTCAGGAGCAGAAGCGGTGCATACAGAGCGATGGAGGAATCTTGCACAAAATTTATTTAGTTTCAGAACTGTTTCCTATGCAATTGATGCTTTAAATCTCGGATGTTACGAACTCTGGAAGGTTGCATCAGTTGCCTTAGCTTTTTGAAGATACCGTAGGAGAGGTGCCGGAGGGGGGGAATTTTTATGGTTGGTTGGCAGACAAAATGTCTTATTCAAAATGTACTTAGGAAAGGAAACTGTCTAACTTCAGTTAGACAGTTAAAAATTTGAGCTTTAAGGTTAAAAAGATGTTTTCTAATGAGCCTTTACTCAAATAAAGGTTGGTCTTTGTAGCTCTTATTTAGTAGTTTGTAGTATAGATAACGTTTACAACTGTTGCAGTAAAAGAAAAATTAGACAAGATGAGAACTTGGACACCTTTTCAACTATGATTATGATGCATTAGCATTGCATTACAGACTTGACATCAGACCTTTTCTTAGAGCCACCAGTAAAGTCTTTATTATTTTAAACTGTAGATAAAAACAAAAGGTGTTTTCATGTGGTGCGGTGGGGAAAAAAAAAGAGTATTCTCTTGCTTTATGAATAAAGTGCTGTAAATGAATATAATTCTTAAAAACGAATGTCATACCATCGTGCTAACCGTTTAACTATAACCACTGGAGCTGAAAAACCAGTCTCATGTCAGCCACTTATCAGACACGATTTGCCTGGTTTTATCTCCCACTGCTCTGCAGGCTGTCATGCTTGATGTATACAGGACAAACCCCCATAGTGCTTTAAAACTGATGGGTGGTAGATAAAAGTGAAAAGCTTTGGTATTCAAAAGGGAATTAAATGCGGAAATTCAGTCATGTGTCAAATGGAGAAGTCGACGCACTCGTTTTAGGGCAGAGTAGCATACTTACGTTGGCGAGAACTGTGATGAGAGCTTGAACTGTGAAGAGGAAGCTATTATAACCCAGCCTCCTTCAAATGAGTGTGATGGTGAGAGGATGTTCTCCTTTTTTATTAATTTATTTTAAGTTTTAATGTGTTGCATTTGGGACTCCAGATATCCCGTAAAAGTGCATTTAAAGTTCAAATTTTCCCAGAATTCTTGAAGAGACTTTGCTTTTCAATCATCTCAAGGCTGCAGTTTTGGCGTTTATTTCAATAGCTTTTTTTTTTACCACCTCTTTTTTTTGTCCCCATCCACATAACTACTTAAATTAAATGACTAGGTCAATGCTTTGATGATCTTCCATTTTAAAATGCATGTGCATTGTTGAATTTAAACAGATTAGTAAATCATTTTCAAGCACATAATTTTTTTTCTTTATTTATTTTAGATTTTTTTTTACATATAAATATTTTTACATTTTTACAATTTAAGAGTTCCAATGGGGTCATTTTTTTCTGTATTTGTTACTTTTGGTCATACTTTGATATTGGATTTGGTGAATTTGTGCAGATTAACCCTTTATTTTTAATTTATTTCTCTGTAAAGTAGTTGGCAAATTCATTCCAGGCTGTGTCAGATTGGAGTTCAGGAGATGCAGTCACAGGAGGGTTTGTGAGCCCGTCAGCTGTTGCAAATAAACCTTGAGCATTAATGTTTTTGTTATGGTTTCCTCAAAGAACTTTTCCCTTGCATGTTTTAGTGTGGCATGATAGCTTTGAAGTCTTTCTTTGTAGATTTCTTAATAGACATGAAGTTGATTTTTGACAAAGATTATCTAATAAAAAGGCCAATAGAACATAAAAACAATAAACAAAGTTTTTAGATAAAGTAAAATTTCAGAGCCAGACTGGAGACATGTTTCTTTATGTTAAGCAACGACTACATGGAACCGTGTGGTCGTACTTTGGTTTCGAAGGTTTGCCTTACCTTTTGTTTGAACGCATGCTGTGGCACACTTCAGCCCCACCAATTTGCACAAGGCAGTCTCCTCAGTAAATGATTGGATGTCTTATCTACAGAATGGCCTGTAATTGTACATACAAAGTGGTTGTGTTTTAAATCCAATGAAATCCCACTGATAAGCCTTTTCATATTTACAGTTGATGTCAGAGCGGGCTCCAAGCTTGACTGCCAGAGGTCAGCTGCTGTGATAAGCTTTATGATGAGCTTTTTCTCTTTTTTTTTTTTTTTTTTTTTAACTTTGAAAAAAAAATTATTTGCTGCTGTTTTTGTCTTTTGATAAACATGTTAGATAAAAATGTGGTGAGCACACAATTTGTTTTCAGACTTTGAAAGAAATTATTTTGAGTAGAATTTCTGGTTTAGTCATGAAGAAAATCGGTACACTCTAAAGTTTTTTTTTTTTCCCCCAAAAGAAATTTTCTTTTATTGATGTCTAATCTGTACTTTTGTAAAAATATTTAATTGTAATTAAAATGTCTCTTGTTGTCACGCAGAATCTCAATGAGTTCAAGTCCTGATCTTTGATTCTGGTTCAATCTGACTGCTCAACTATAGCAAGAGCCTGACGTAAGTCCAGTGACGGTGTTTTAGAGTTTCTGAAAACGTCTTTTATCATTTTGTGGTCTACTTTCTGGAGGAACTTGCTTGGGCAGGTTTCCAGTTGTTTGAAGTTCCTCCAACTGTTGACTAGTTTCTGTGCATTGGAATTGCTAATGCCAAATTATTTTGGTAACCCATTTAATTCCCTCTCTAAACTCATTGCCTTAGACATTTAATATCACCAAGGTGTTTTATACCCACTTTAACAGGGCAAACCACCTTCAAAAAGCTGAGCAACGACGTTCCGAACATGTGCAATTTTAGTTTTATTGTAAGAATAAATTTCAGTGCAGGCTAAATTATTCCACACCAGGAACTGTATATTTTAACAGTCTTAAAATGTCTTTTTCTTGAATTTTATACTAAATGTCCATATACAGATATGTTTGAAAACACGACTGTGCATGAATACAATGTCAGTCATATGTTTTGTTTTGCAATATTCTTGATTTAGGAAAGGATTGGGGGGGGGAAATTCAGGCTTTTTTTTTTTTTTTTTTTTTCACATATGAAGCCTGACTGAAAAATTTGTCCCTAATCCAGCTATGTGTTCCTGACAGAGTGCAGGAGGTTCATATAAAAATAACTCCACTCTCTGCAACCTTTGACAACCTTCAGCAATCCCTCGAAGCCTTATGTTTGACATTGGGTCCACGAAGCAGTCGGTTACCTCTCTGCTCTCTACTAAGTGCTTTGTTTAAGTGTTTATTTAACTGTTCAATTCACTGTGTAGGTGGAGTGTCATTGAGGAAGTCGCAAAGGCAGCTCTCCCGTCATCATGGTGAACATCCCAGAATACTATGCAGGGAAAAATGTGCTGATATCCGGAGCTACAGGCTTCATGGGAAAGGTACCGTAGAGGTTTAGCTGGCTTGTGAAATGTGGCTGAACTTTGAACTACTGCTTGGAAGTTTTTTTTTTTTGTTTTTTTTTGTTTTTTTTTGTCTCTCCAGCATCAGTAATAAAATAAGACAAAATAGATGTTTTTTTGTTTTTTTTCCTTTCTGCTTTTTGCAAGGTGAACAGTTCATGTGTGCGTAGTTGCAAGAACATAATGTTAATGATGTCAGGAAGGTTTTTTTTTTCTTTTTTAGTCCTTTGACAAATGGTTAAGTGGTTTGGTCTATTTTTAGCTGAATAATGTCAACTAAACTAAAAAAAAAAAAAAAAAAATGGGGTCAGTACTGACTTGCACAATGCTCCAATAAGCCAGAAACAACTTCAGTCAGTTTATGCTTTATCTCATAAAGCATGAAAATGACTCTTATGTTATAGAAATGGAGATGGAAAAGGTTTTTTGTTTCATAACACAAACTTTTTAAGACCTTAGTGTCACTTGGTATACTAAATGGTGTGCTAAATATCCCATGTCTGCTGCTAGAGAAGGGCACTAGCTGCCTGAACAAGACTAAGCTAATAGAAAATAGAGTATTAAAAGAAGGCACAGGAAATAAAAATGATCTATACGTCACATGGTGAACTTTTATCCAGGATTGTAGCTGTGGTCTAGTCAGAGTTTAGTGCTTAAAGTCTAGCCAATCACTGTTGATTGCTGTAATTCTTTTTCATTTAAATTCCAACCGTTGCATGAATGTTACTGGATAAAATCTGAATATCTTGTTCCAAATTCAGTTTGAGCATAAATGAATCCATTTTCTTGTTTGTTGTCCCAAGGTTCTGCTGGAGAAGCTGCTGAGGTCCTGCCCAGGGGTCAAAACCGTTTACGTAATGGTGAGGTCAAAAGCTGGGCAGAGCCCTCAAGCCCGCGTAGCCGACATGATTAACTGCAAGGTGAGAGCTGGGCGCTCAGAAACCATAATGAATGGCTGTCACTGAGGGAGATGAGGAGCTTCTGAAAACCCTGTTACACTTGTTTGTGTCCAAATACATGAACACGGTCTAATTGTGTTTGTAGCGGAAACTCTTCCTTAAACTGCGTCATAGTTTATATTGTCTATTACTCATCTTCTCTGTTTACTTACTTTAAATAATCAGAATGTAAAACCTTATAACAGAGCTGTTGCATTGCACGTCTCATAAGTCGGGAAAGAAATTTAGAGGTCAACTTTGAATGCGCTTTTGTAAGTTGCTTAAAGTGAAGTTTAAGGGTAATTCTGCTGAGTCTTCCTCTTTCTTAAGAAGACTGCAGACACTGATGAGATTGGCCTCATCGCAGAAAGATGACTTTAGATGTTTTCATCAAAAGTTTCACAATATCTAACAAGTCTTGCTTAAGGAGAAAGGTACATGCACCTAAAATTAGCATTCAGAAAAGCTGAGAAATTCAGAAGAACAGTAAATTATTTGAAACTGAGTTAACACCAGTGGCAAGATGCATTTTTATTTTATTTTATTTTTTTAATGAATATTGTTGGAAACTTTTTTATTTCAGAAATTTAAATTAAAGAAATGTCTACATTATGTGGTTTCATTAAGGAAAAGGTGATTTCAAGTGTATACTTTTCTGTTAATTGATTATTGTGGATTACAACTAATAAAATTCTCAGAATGCATCTCAATTTAAAATGTTACACAAGACTAAGAAAGAAAATTACAGAAACTTACAAGCCCCAGACTGCTGGTTGACTGATGCCCTGCACATAGTGGGTAACTCACTGGAGGATACGATATTCACAGAGCACAATAAAGGAAAGTTGAGTGGAAGGAAAAAGTGTGGTAGGACAGAAGTGACCAAGCAGTGGGGGGAAACTGTAGCCTTGAGAAGATTATAATGCAAAGTTCTTGTATGAATATTATTTCATTTTAAAGCAGGATTTGGCATGTGACAACACTGCATAAAAGATTAATTGCACCATTAGTAAGAAACGTCCATACTTAAACTTTATAGAGTATTATCAAGTGAAATGCTAAAGCCAACAACAAAATGAGCTAAAAACCATTTGAAGCAAGCTGACTCGTGCAAAAGGAGCGGCAACCAAATACTGTATGCATATACTTCAGACTGTATTTAGAATGCATTTCTTTTTAACTAACATTGACATTTTCTGAGAAACCAACTTTTGGGTTTGAGCCAATGCCATAAAAATGAAAAGATATGTTCATAAAATTTACAAATCTTATATTTAAGTGCGTCACATTTCTGAGTTTGAACTGGGTACCTCGAGGGAAAATATTGTCCTTTCATTCAATATAAATATTTGTTTGCAATGTCTCTTTAAGGACATTTGCACTACTTTTTTTTTATCACAGTATACATTTAAAATGCAGTTTCGTTATTATAATCTGTTTTTTCTTAAGCTTTTTGTTTTTTTGTTTCTTTTTTTGTTTGTTTTGTTTTTTTTATTTGAAGACATAATAAACTTCTTTATTCATTGTAACACATTTCATTTCGTTGTTTGTCTCAGTTGTTTGAAAAATTGCAAGCAGAGCAGCCAGACTTTGCAGAGAAGATCACAGCAGTGAACAGTGACCTCACAGTACTGGAGCTTGATCTCAGCAAAGAGGATCAGAGCATCCTGGTTGAAAACATCAACATCGTCTTCCACTGTGCCGCAACAATCCGCTTCAATGAGCCGCTCAAGTGAGTGATCTTTGTTTTTTTTTCCTCTCTCCCTTTTTTTTTTTTACCTTTTCATGAGGCAAATACTCTGTGTAATTTTCGACTGTTTTCTAGGCTTGGCTCTTTTCAGCCCAGTGTTGACAGAGCGTACCTTCTGTTTGCAGTACACAGAAACAGAACACCTGGCACGCCTTCCTTTTTCTGCTGAATTTAAGACACAGCTGCTTATTGAGCTCTACTTCCCATACAATCTTTACAAGAAGCTGAGTGTATACCTATTTAAAGACATTTCCTCCAATTAGTGGTCTTAAAAAGCTGATCTTTACAAACAATTGTTTGATTTTTGCAAACCAGACACAATTGACACATTGGTTTCTGACTTCACATAGATTTTTTATTTTTTTTTCGTTTAGCTATAATAGTTATAAGATTTCTAATTCTGTGTTTCCATCAGACAACAATGCTCCATTTTTCTTTTTGCGTGTAGCTTAGTGCATGTTATGGCGTTTTTGCTATAATCATAATTTTGTAATATCTGGCCTCAAGCCCCCCAGCTGGTCCTCAGTAAGGTGAGATTCAAATATATTAATGACGCACAGATGTGAATATTGTTACAGATTTTAGATTGACAGTGTAAAAGCGGATGCATATTTTGTCAATTTCAGATTTCTTTCTTAAAAGCTAAAAACGCTACAATATTTAGGAAGATGTCAGCATTCAGAATATTAAATTTTTTTTTAGCCTTTGTGTCATAAGCAGTGATTTATTTATAATTTTGGGCACAGAGGCAACATCACATTGTTTGTGTAAAATAATTTCACATGTATTTTGGACATAAATAAACCTTAAAGTGGAGTGGTGTTCCATATTCAGACTCTAAATATGTTTGGTTGACATGAATGGACAACGTCATCGAAAGAAAGCATCAATAAAAAGCTGGCCGATATAAATTTAGCATCTTTTTACTTTCTCTGACTTTATTTTTAAAGCCTGCACAGATCTTGAGTGATGTTGTTGGTACAGCTGGACTGTTCCTTGGTATGTTGTAGTCGCGATTTGGAAAACTGACTTAATTTCATAATTTTAAATGTAATTTTTTTTTTTTTTTTTTTGTAATTTTTTTCAGTCTTCCCGGTCTTTAAACTAAAACTCAGTGAAAATGCTTGAATCTCTGCCTACGCTTGTTTTCTGTGTCTTAGAGATGCAATCCAGCTGAATGTCCTGGCCACACAGAAGATGCTGGCGCTGGCCCACAGGATGAAGCACCTGGAGGTCTTCATTCACGTCTCCACAGCTTACGCCCACTGTGACAGGGAGGTCATCGAGGAAGTCGTGTACCCACCTCCTGTAAACTACCGCAAACTCCTTGACACTCTTGAGTAAGTTTCTGCACAATTATGCAGATTTAAGCAAAATGGAATGTACCGTGTGACCGTCAAAAGTCCATGATGCTGTGAACTGGCCAACTTTAGCTTTGTTTTACTTTGTAGCACCGATGTTGACGGCATCACTCACTGCTTTTCAGATATATTAGTGCAACTTTAAGAATAAATTTGATGAATGGAGACAGAATGGCGTCATTAGTAAACCTATACTATGTAGATAAGCAGAGTTACTTTATGATGGCTGGATATGTCAAAATTGAACATAATAATATCAAATGCCCTTTTCTCCATTTTTGTCCCATCTCCTGTTCCGGCTTAGTGCTAGTGTTTATTTTTAGAGTGGTGCAAAGTGGCTTTGTTTGCATGTTCAAAGTACCTCATAACTCAAAACCGTTTTATTTTCTCCAAGCTAAACTGTGGTATAAGCTCTCAGCACATTTCTGTCCTATGCAGATGTTTTAAAAGCAACTTTGCTCATTGTATTGAAGCATTTAATAATTATTTTAAGAACCTTTTTGGCAGGTCAAGTTAGTTTAAGTCAGTAGTTTTTATTGTGCTCAAAAGATAAATTAGCTTTTTATAAAGTTTGACTGTTAAGTCAAAGGTAACATTGCTGTTATTAGCTGGGGTACAAGGACGTGGGATATTAGATAATTATTCATAATGAATCTTGTATGTAAACTGGATTCATGTTGTATGGTGTGTTTGCATCTATTTTAGAGCAAAAGTTTACACAATGTCCTCTGTAGACCAAGGCATTGAAGTATAGAATTAACTTGTAAAACGTGTAAAGTTAATGATGAAACCAAAGAAGCATTTTTGATTTTGCTTTGGTTCAAGAAAAATATAACTCTGCGTCAGACTCCTTATAATTCTGGTAGTTGAGCTTAACCCCCCCATTACTATTCTTAGTGCGTTTAGCATTCCTAGATGTTAGAAATCGAAACTCTATACGTCATCCCAGGTATGTCTTATTTCTCTGCCTTCAGCTGGATGGACGACGATTTGGTATCAACACTGACCCCCAAGCTTATTGGAGAGCGCCCCAACACCTACACCTACACCAAAGCCTTGGCTGAGTATCTGGTGCAGCAGGAGGCTGGAGACCTCAACGTCGTCATCGTCAGACCCTCGATTGTTGGCGCCAGCTGGAAAGAGCCGTTCCCCGTGAGTCATTCGAAACGCTTAAATTTGAATGCATTCTGAAAACCTTTCAACTTACTAGAGTAATGTATAAATTGAGCCTAAAATGGAGCCATGTGTAAGTTATAAAAGGGATGACCAGCACCAATCAGCAGCGACTCTGAAATTGTGCCAAAGAACAAGTAAATACTAAAAAAATTATTGTCAGAAAAGCTAATATGCAGTTAAAAAAGGGTGTTTTGGTAGCTTAAACGTAATGTTTGGTGTCTGTTCTGGCCTGGCTGTTCCTCAGAGCTTCGTCAAGATGTTGATGATCAAGCCTTTGTTGTCTGTCCATGCATGCAGTGTATAGACTGATGACCGCGGCTGGTAGAATGCGAGACCTCCAGTAAAAAAAAAGGGCATAATTTAATGACTCTAGAGAATTAAGAATTTGTCACTGAAGCTGTACCCAGATCTTTTTTGTTTTAAAGGGGATGTATTCAGCTTCCTCCTACATTATCTTTTATTTCCCCTACATGAAATGGTTTTCATATAGAAAGACGATATCCATAGTTCCTCTTGTAAATTAGTTGGATGTAAAGAAATTTGGTTATTTAATTATCTCAGTTCTAATACTATCCATTTCTCAGGGCTGGATTGACAACTTCAATGGACCCAGTGGGATATTTATCGCAGTAAGTAATAAAATCAATGCTCTTATTAAACAATGAGGCATCAATAAAGCTTTTTGCAAAAACCCTTGCTGGATTAAAACATGACATAATGTTAAAATTAATTTGTGTAATTGGTTACATCAAACTTGTATAGGGCTTTATTAGGACACTGAAAGACACTTTGCAATGAAATCAGCCATTACCACTCATGTAAACATCGATACTCTGACGATATCAAGCTACTGGATTGTAGACACAGCCTCCATGGGGGCAGTCTTACGGAACCAAGACAAATACGACGTAGCGGATATTGTAGTACTTCAAACAACTTTTGTGGAATCCTTCCTCCTGGGAAGCTTCTCAGTCTGTTGGGAGGAACGCAAGAGCCGACCGCATAAACGTTCTTCATTAATCCGCAAAGCAATAATTTATCATATTTTTCAACTAAACCTTTTTCTCTTGCATTAAGATCATTTCATCTCATTGTTTCAGGCTGGAAAGGGGATTCTGCGTACGATGAGGGCATCTAATGATGCCGTGGCTGACCTGGTCCCAGTGGATGTGGTCATTAACGCGACTCTAGCGGCAGCTTGGTTCTCTGGATCGCAGCGAGTCAACAGGTTTAAAATCATCCACTTCTGTTGTGTAATCTGGTCAGGTTGTTGTTCACATGAATTGCAATAAAGTAGTTGCTTCCTTTTTGCAGGCCTAGAAGCATCCTGGTGTATAACTGCACAACTGGCGGGATCAACCCGTTTCGCTGGGGCGAAGTCGGTATGATGTGTTTATATACCATTTCACTTTTGATGCAGCCTGTGTGAAGCCTTAAGCAATGAAGGTGTCTTTAAATAAGGCCTCTAATGGCATAACCTTATTGTAATTTGTAATCCACTGCCTGCCACACCTAAACCAGAAGCTTTTGCTAATCCATGACTAGATTGGTGAGTTGCACAGAAAGTGCATGTTAGCACTGCATGTCCACAACCTTTTCCCATGTGTTTGAGAATATGCTGACATAGATTTGGTTCCAAATGTTTAAACACTGGACTGTTTGGTGAGGAATATAAACTAAACTACTAAATTTAAAATCATGTTGAGTTTCACACAGGGGAAAACTAAATGGGGGAGGAGGGGGATTTTTTGCTCATCATTAAAAACGAATAAAAGTTTCAGAACAGATTAATATAAACTTGTGGGTCTGGATGAAATATGGTGTTTTCTAGATGTGTAATAATTACAGTCTTGCATCATCAAACACAATGAGAAGAAAATGTAAAACTTTTTCTTTTTTATTTATATATAATCAATCTCTAATAGAAGGCCCAGAAATTAGGGGTCATAAAAGAGCTTGGTTTTATCTAGAGGTCAGTTTCTGATTCTCGGCTTATCAAATTGATGGACTCATTTTCTATCTATAATATAGGAGGTTACATTGTGCTAGACATAGTAAGGAATAGGAAAAAGAAAGCTAACGGTCTCCTTTTACTAAGAAGGCTGCTGGGTTATGGGATCCTAATTATTCAAAGTTTTTAAGAGTCGCACATTAATTTTCTGTGAAATATTGTAAAATCCAAAGTGCATCCAAATTCTTGCTCTTATTGAAAATACTCCGTGCTCCACTGAGGATTTTCAAATATTCTATAAAGAACAATAAAACAAAAGGACGAAAGTTATCATTTAAATGTTTTTTTAACAGTTGTGTATTAGCAGCAAAAACAGTCGTCGACCCAGCAAATTATTGCCGATTATTTCAAGATCCTTGAAGATCCTTTTGTTCCCCGTCTGTGTGTTGGCAAAAGAGTTACATTTTGTATGTAATGTTAAATTAAACATGGGTTCACTAACAAGGCTGACTTTTGAATGCAATGGTTGCACTGAATTTTATTTAGGGGTATTGGACATGGTAAATTTGTAAAATATTAGTGTCTTTTAGAAATAAACTCATATTTTAGCAGCTTAATATTGTTTTTGCTCAGGTCAGAATGAACTTGAATCAAGTCAGTTAGCGAATATCTTTTTCAGGTCTGAAGCCAGAATGTGTGAAACACATTAACACTGGTCCTTGTTCCCTTATGTTGAACAACCTTCTCTTCTTAGAGTACCATGTAATATCCACATTCAAGAGGAACCCCCTCGAACAGGCCTTCCGTCGGCCCAATGTTAATCTCACATCCAATCACCTAATCAATCAGTACTGGATTGCCGTGAGCCACAAGGCTCCGGCCTTCCTGTACGACATGTACCTCAGGCTGATTGGACGAGAGCCCAGGTAACCTCGTCACAGTCGCCTGCTCGGATGCGCCGTAGCTGTTGCTTTTCTAACGGTCATAGTAATTTCACGTACACACACCTTTTGCTGCTTTATTCTGTCACTTTCTTCCTAGCGTAGATGCTTAACATCGTAGCTGCAGTGTTGATGTATGTGTGTTTATTGCTTCTGTGAAGTTCAATTGCCGTCAAGGAATGTATAACCCATGGCTCTCGGGGGACAGAAGAGGGTGCTTGTGGGTTCTGCACTCTTTGCATTTTGCTGCTAAAGTTGTGTTTTCATCGGCATCTAAAATATTAGCTCAGAGATGCTGTAAGGTTTGCAGATTCACGTTGGAACTAGATCAAGTCTCATGTGGTGGTGCAAAAAAGTGGCAGGCTGGCAGAGACCGACCTGACAATCGGGACCGGCTTTTATTTCTAAAAGGAGGAAATGCGTCTTCTTCATCTCATCCCTCTGTGTCCTCCATGTCCCGTCATGTGTGTATCTCTCTCCTACAGAGAACTGTATAAACATGACCTTCAAGAACAATCCCCTAGAGCAGGCCTTCAGAAGGCCCAATGTCAATCTGCGCTCCAACCCCTTTACTAATCAGTACTGGACAACAGTCAGCCACACCCTGCCGGCCCTGCTGTATGACGGCTATCTCACACTGATGGGCCACAAGCCCCGGTAAGATCGCATCTGCCACAAACCCCTCCCACACTTTATAGTCCTCTTCCTGCTGCCAATCAACTCCCCCCTTCACCTCAGGTTCTCCTCACGTTCCTTCCTGATTTGTCTAACTTGGATTATAGGGAACAAAAGACTTCTAAAGCGTCTTCTTCACCTGAGCTCAGGGTGCCGTCTGAACTTTGTCATGACAACATGATTTGGATTGTGTGCAAGCCTACCCTTCATCCAAAGATGTTTTCATTTATTGCGGCCCTCAATTCGCACTTCTTTTGCCCAATCTGTCTCCCAAAATGAAATTATTTTTGACTAATCCAAAAAGCGGACACCTCCACAGTGCCACTGAACGAGTGGCAACGTCGGCAATTGACTTCTTGCAATCTAAAGTGTGAGTTGGTGTCTGAAATGAGTTTAGCTTGCACCACCAATGGGCTCCATTTCTGGAAGTGCGTTTTGAATCTGATTTGCTTTGTCATTGGTGGCAAATGAAGCTCTCCTTTCCACTGTTTGCTGGTCATTCATGCATATTTAAAGCTTCCTTTCAATCGGTTGCATGCACTGGCAGAATCTGAGTCATTTCAGTCAGCCTCCATTAGTTAAATTGATTGGACTGTCAGCACTTCTGTGAAAATTATACAAGCCTAGCTTTAGATCTACTTCAACACTGGCTGAATTGAAATGAATCAGATTCAATTAAGGCTCTTTTCTACACCTTTCCCATTTAAATGATCATTGCTTGGATTGTGATCGCTTAAATAACACCAAATGAAGTTGGAGTAGGTCAACTGGATTTACTACACTTACCAGGAGGATAATGATGCATAAAGTGTTAATCGCTTATTGGGTTTGGTGCATATTCATCTCTGTTTATTTAGAGGAATGAATCAGCATAATCTAATTATTGCTATTTAAGGAGATGCAAGCTGTCTTCCTGTTCTGTGCAGAATAAATCCAGTAGACCATTTCTGATTGTTGATGTCAATGGGGAAGGGATTCTGTCAACCACATTACTATTTCCATCATTATTAGTATTTTTCTATTATTATTATTATTAAGCTCTCCTATATTTTTAATTAAAGTCAGAATAAGCAACGTATGTGTTACAACTGATGGTTTAACAAAGATCCAGCTGAAATGGCTTTATGTTGAGTAACCATTTGATCAGTCATGATCAAATGAAAAATGTAAAGTCTTTTTTAAGCACTTATCTACCTTTAATTTGCCAATTTTTATCATTTAAAAATCTGATTTCCAAAAGCTTTCACATTGTTGCTGTTTTAAAATGGTTTTATTTTAAACAAGCCATCCAGGTTGAGTTAATTTTTATTCCATTTCTTCCAAAACTCGAGATTATTAAAACCAAGCTCATGTTTGAAGGGGCTGAGAATTTTTCTTCAATGCTTCTAATTCTGGAGGATTTTGCAGAACAGCAACAACGTTGAAATCCTACAGCTTGCGTATGTTGACGGGCTCATGGCTCTTTATATCTTACAGTGGCCTCCACTCTTTGTTACACTCCTGGGAAAGATGCATAAAAACCTTTTTTTTAACCTCTTAAATGTAGTATCTGATATGGAACAAAAAACAGAAGAAGTAAATTAAACTTTTTAATTTGAGGAGATTTACCCAGTTGGAGGAAACATGCTATGGAATAGTTTTTTTCCTCTCTGTGCTAATTTAAAGACAAAGGAACATTGTGAATTATTTTTTCATAATGTATTTTTAAATGTTTGGCTGTTTTTAGAATATCTTGGAAAATTATGTGGTAATAATTTCCTATTCTGGTGTGTTTGACATGTTTTGGAGGCCTGATTCTGCCTGCCACTCCCCAAAACAGGAAAGAGGAGAAAACATTGTCTTAATTTAAGACTGATGCATATTGATTTATTTTAGAAGTCTTTCATCAAGTAAAAGTTTTTTTTTTATCTGATTGTCCTCATGTCTGCTGTTGGAGGATCACTTTTGTCTGAAGCTTCTGGAACTGTGGCAATCAAGACTCTGAGAATTAAGTGCATCACATCCCCATACAATGACCAGGATGTTATGGAAAGTTAAAAGAAAATAAAAAAATCTCCTTATTGCCTAACTTATGATTGGAGAACTCTGTGTCCGCAGCAGCCAGCAGCTCCTTTCTTCACACGTTGTTCGACTTGGTAGTGAAAGCATTTTCTGTCATACAGTCAGAGATATGTGAGCATATGAAGTTAAACCTAAATGACCTTTTTCCTGAAAGTGTTTGAGACGTGGAGAAGCACCTCATGCCCGCTGTTGAGCATGGGGACGTAACATTATGCTGTGGGCCTGCGTCTGTTCCAAGGCGCCTGAAAACATTGTTGGAATGCATGGTTGCATTTTTGAGAAGTCCAGAAAACTGAACTGGCAGAAATGCTTGCATTGTTCACCAGATGAAAAGCCTTCCCTTCCCCCAACCCCCAGACCAAACCGCTGCAGAAAACCTTTGAGGTGAGCTGAAGAGTGAGGACTCCAGATGAGCCATTTCTAGGAGTGCAGTAAAGCATGGAGGGCACCGTATATTCTCTCCTAACAGCTTATTTGATGAAGGTCTGCCCTTGGTATATTCTGACTAAATATTTCATTTATTTGGAACCACTTGTCAAATTACTCAGTCAAATCAAAGCAGTAAACTGCTCTCTACATATTTGAAGTTGAGACTTTTGCCTCTGCTCCTCAACAGCCAGACATGTGATCTGTCCTGTCTCTTTGTTTCCTTAGCTGTCCTTTTCGTTCATTTATCGGTCTCATTCTTTATCTTATTTTGTTTTTTTTTGTATCCCCTGTTTCAATGACACATTGTGTATCACAGGATGATGAAGACAATCACTCGGCTGCACAAAGCCATGATGGTCCTGGAGTATTTCACCAGCCATTCCTGGGTCTGGAACACAGACAACGTGGCTATGCTGCTGTCCCACATGAGCCCTGAGGATAAGAAGGTGATCTTAGCTAAACCCAAACATGAGCAGTACATGAATTTATGGCACTCTCAGTCAAACTACCTGATTAAGTCTTTATTTAGCTAAAACCAAATGGAGGAGTTGACTTTTCTGAAAAGTTTTCTTGCATGTGTAACATGCTTCAGTTCAACCCAGAGCATCTCAAAGGGGTAGAGATCTGACTAGACCCAGCTCTCTACATGCATTGATCTTGTCCTTTTTGTTTTTTTTTGTGGATTTATTTGTATTTTCTCATTCATTGTGATTGTTGCAGGGTTCACTTATGCTCACTCACACCCTCTGATAGCTGAATTCATGAAGGATTCTTTGATTATGAGTTGGCCAGGTCACGTTATCGCAAAACATTCCCAAACCATGATGCTTCCAGCTCAGTTTCACAGTTGGTCTGAGGTTCTGTCCTGGAATGCCGTTTCTGGTTTGACAAACCTGTCCTCTCAGTACCTCAGTTTTTGACACATTATGTGCAAAACACATGGTGCAAAAAAAAGGATTCCCGAAGTCCCGGTTGTCGTACTCCCCGGTAAAACTCAGCCTGGTTTCATCCTTCATCACCTCAGATCGTGACATGACGACGGTTGTCTTGAATTTCTTGTTGCAGATTTAAGTGCGAGAGCTTTTGGAATGATGTGCCTTACTCGTGCGTTGCTCCAGTCGTCTTTCTGAAGGCCTGAGGCACGTCTGTAGATTTTATCATGGTGTTCACTCTCATTCGACTGTCAGGAGCGCCAAACTGAATGTCTCGTGGTTTTAACAAAGTCACCCACCTTTAAAATACTGGGTATTTTAAAATGGCAATGCTTTAGCAAATGCTTGCTAAATGCAAGCATTTAGCACGTTGTTACAAGCCTTTTACAAGCCTTTGTGGTTTTCAGACATTTACAAGTTGGAACAAGTGTGGATATGTTTTATTTATTCCCACCAGTCTGCATTGTTGCATCTTTTTTTTTTTTCGTTTTGTTTATTTATATTACCTAAATTTCTCTATTATGAATAATAAGAAATGTTATTTTTGTTCTTCGTTCCTGAACAGGTGTTCAACTTTGATGTGCGCCAGCTGCACTGGGCAGAGTACATGGAAAATTACTGCATGGGCACAAAAAAATATGTCCTCAATGAGGAGCTGTCGGGGCTGCCTGCAGCACGCAAACACCTCAACAAGTAAGGTGGCTCCGGATCTGCCTGCATGTGCAGACATATACCTTCTTCTGTACACAGCTTAATTTAGTTCCTGGAAAGTGTTGAGTGGTTTCAAGACTGTCATGTGTAACCTCCCAAGAAATTTGAGACGGATCAGGGGAGAGTTTTTCCTGGTAGATTAGCTCATGGTTTGTAAATCTTTGCACAAGTAGCTGTAGTATACACGTCGAAATGTGTGTCATGTTGAAACCCTAAGCTTCAATGTATGAGACTTGTGAGATAAAAGGGATACAGGGGTTTTCAAGGACCTGAAAAATCACAGTGGTCGTTTTTGTCAAGACCCCTGTACTCTGATGGCCATAAATAAAAATAAGTAGAACCAACAAGCGGGACAACCTGGTCAGATTCAAATCTGAAAATAGAAACAGGATTAAGGACTATACATGCTGTTGACACAACACTGCTAGTTTTGTTTGTGCACAAGCATCATTGTTGAAAGAAAGCTTTTTAAAGGCCTGTAGGCAATTTGCTGCAGGGTGCATTGATGACACAGCTCAGACTGTCGTCAAAAGGAGGTGCTCAGATTAGAAGAGACTAAAAGGGCAAGTTTGGTTTTTGACTAAAATGGAAATGCAGCCTATTAAGAGCTGGGGTGGAGGAGCTTAAGGACATCAGTGTAAGTGGGGTTGGAAAAAAAATTGCATGCTACACTTATTGAATTTTGATTAAAAAAAAAAAAAAAAAAACTTTTTGCCTCGACTTCACAATTCTATGCTACTTTGTCGGTCTGTTGCATTAAAATGTATTATAGTTAATTTTTTTTAAAAATGTTATCTTTTTGCTTCTGCTACAAATTATTCTGCTGCTGTTTTTCTCACGTGTTGCTAAAACGGTGATTGTCGCAACCTCTTTTAAAAATGCAAACTATGTGGGGAGAAAAACAAATGACAAGTTTTTAAGGAAAAGTAAATAAATTGAGAAAAATGAGGGGAGAAAAAAAGATGTGGACGATGAGGGTTATGTGGTTAGCAGAATGAAGTCTTATGTTTCTGTCCCCCAGGCTGAGGAACATCCGCTACACCTTCAACACCATCCTGATGGTTCTCATCTGGCGCATCTTCATCGCCCGGTCCCAAATGGCCCGCAACATCTGGTACTTTGTGGTGAGCCTCTGCTTCAAATTCCTCTCGTACTTCAGAGCTTCCTCCACTATGAGATAATGAACCGTGGATTCTGAGCAAGGCGGCGGCGGCGAGTTGGAGGAGCGAAGAACACGGCGCCTGTGGATGATGAGCGCTCTGAGCGAGGAGTGAAATGAGCTGGAGTCTGCAGTGACTTAAGATCTTTAAATATCCAACTCCTCTCCAACATGTCCTCGCTACATGAAACACAGGACTTTGTCTCAGATCAGCAGAGATTGGGCTAATCGTTAAGAAGACCTCGTCCCGTTTCCCTTTGGTTCTGCTGCACATTCTGCAAAGCTATGCATTGAACAGTGCTCTGCTCCAAAGCCCTATGACTTTGTTCTGAGTCCTGCCCGGCCAAAGCTTGCTCTGCAAGAACAGAGAAACTATCTCTCTCACCCAGAGCTGCAAGAACAAAACCACATCATTCTATTCCTGCAATTTGTGCTTGATCCATGTTCTGGGGAACTCCTTTTTTTTTTTTCCCCCTTGTATGTTGTCTGAAATAAGAAGCGAGTGTGACACGGCGCTGGGGATCTATGAAGACTTCCAAAGAGTTTTGTACTGGAGGAAGGTTTGAAATGTTCTGGCCAAATAGAGACGTATCCTTGTTCTTGCAGTCTCGAGTAAAACTAATTTCTCTGTTCTTGTGTCGCATGAACAGGCCTTTGTTATTAATCATAGACGAATCAACCCACATTTCTTTCAGCTTTGTTCGACTGAGCTTTCACCTGACTGCATCATTTCAACTTGGAGCATCAAATATTTCTGTGGCTTCTCGCAGACCGTTTGAAGGAATGTTTAAGACTGTGAGGGCGCCGTTTGTGCTGAATCATGCCTCACTCGACTTTCTTGCTCGGCTTTCCCCGGCATGTTCCTGCAGGACGGAACATGAACTGTCAACAAGAATAAACTGCCGCATGTCGTCAGACTGCAACGGCTCGCCTCTAAATCCCAACCAAGCACAATGCAGATTCTGATGGCTTTACCGAGTGCCTATACTGATTTTTTTTTTTCTCTTGCATCTGCAAATTTTTACAAAAACCTTGTTTTTTTTCTTCCTCTTCTGGTTCCCTTTTCTGTCAAATTCGTGTCCAAGTTGCAGCTTTTGCCAAATTCCTTGTGTTCCAGCAGCATAGGTTGAGGTGGGAGGAGAAACTGTCCTCTTTTCAGATCTTCTTTTTCCAGTTTGTCTGGAAAAGAAATACCTCCAGGTTCAGATTATACCCTGGGTGATGCCCTATAGCTCGCTTTTTGTTGTTCTATTCCTCTAGAATTAACTTGATCTCAAATTTTTTGTCAAATATTTAGTTGCTGCCATTTTGTGGAGTCTGTTACATTTTGGGGCCATTTGTTCAGCTTCTATAAAAATCTAAATGTGTGGGGGTTTTTTTTGTTTGTTTTTCCCTTCATTCTCAAGTCTCGCATTTCTCTGGGCTTTAACTGCCTGCGCCATAGAAAGTCTCAATACTGAAAAGCACTTTCTCATATTTATCCTCTGTTACCTTTCTTATTTATTTAACCCACCACGAGTCGGTAATTGCATGTGTCTTCTAACAGCGTCTTAATGCCTTCATGTCTGTCGCGTCGTTAAGGAATGTGATTCTCTCAGCATAAGCAAATGTATGTAAACCCCAAAATCCTGTGCCTGAACTCTTGTTAATAACTGAATGTGAGAAAAAAAAAAAAGCAAAAGAGAAACCAGATGTGTTTTCTAAGTCTATTGTGTGCAGCTCTATTTAGGTAGATTTGAAGAGATGAGCAGATGTATTTTTCTGCTCGTCATCACACGCCTACTTTACGAAAGCTTACTGAAGTGGCCTCAGCTTATGTAAATAAAAACAGCTGAAATCCACAGTTTAGCGCCATTTTAGCTTAAATTTGTAATCCGTTTCTGTAAATGCACTTGTGTCCTTCTGTCTGTTTGAGGGAAAAAAAAACACTTTGTAAGGTGAGATTTTTCTTCAGGCTTTAACAACTGGTGATGGCTGTAAGAGGATGAGATTTGAGTTATTGTCTGGTTGAGTGAATAAATTGTGGCTGTTGTGCCTAACTTCCTTCAATGGGTGTAAGTGACTTGGTGTGTTTCGGGATTGTGGGTTCTCACAATCCCAAAACAATTGTGGACTTTGGACTTTTCTCCACTGTCCAAAAACACATTTGTCATTTTATTTACCCTCTTTACCTTTTGACCTACATGTGAAATGCTACTTGGTGCAGAGATCTGACTGCACGTCTCCTGAACACACCATCTTTGCTGTAAAATATAGTGCTAGTGTCCATTGTTGGAAAGATGCTCCTAAAATAGAAAGAAATCCTGGGAGAAAACCTGTTGGCGAAACTGCAGAAAACTTTGTGGAGGTTTCCCATCCAGTACGACTAAAGCTAAAGTTATGATTGATTCCTTGCGTCAAGGGCCGGTGTCCTGCAACTTTACGTCCGTCTGCAAAAGCAGACAGAAATAATGAGGTCATCAGCTGGACTGACTGCATACTGAGGAGGTAAATCAACCATTTGATTCAATAGTGTTGAAGCATAGACGCATCTACGAATTGCAGGACACCTGTCCTCGATTTAAGAGCCCCTGGTTTAAATCCAACCTTTTGTCATAATGGCCCCAGACACTTGCATTAAGTGATGTTGCTTACGTTTGTTTTATTCAGTGTAAAATTCTTCTCAGCCATGCCCTTTGGTCAATAAAATGTGTTTAATTGACTTTTTGTTCCACAGGTTTGTGCTTCTGTAGATGAGACCAGCATGATTGACAATGGGATAGATGAACCATTAGTCTCAATTTGTCCAGCTGACCTGTTTCCTGTGGTGCATAACAGATCTGTCCTCCTCATCCTGCACTGTATCTGGAAGGCAGATTAAAGTGGCATATTGAACAGCTCCATTAAGACTTAATGCTGCCTTTCAGGATTAAACCCGACGCCATGAATGGACGGAGGGTTGGCCTGCCCTCATTTTGGATGACTAAACTCATGATTTGCTATAAATATCTATTTGATTAAATGCCCTCTCTTGATTTATTTGCCTTTACAGATTTATTTTTTTTACTCTTCTTCACTAATTGTTTTAATGGACTAGCCATCTATAAGGATGGGTGACATGATGCGAGTGGAGCCTGGCTATTGGTGAATGGAGTACTTCTACATTTTAGAGATTTAGAGTGTTTTATTACCACTGACAACCCCTTGGGTGATGGCACCCTGGACAAAGAGCCACATAGGTCTTATCAAAAACTTTTATCTGCTAAAATGTTTTCAAGCCAGATGTACTTTTCCAGTCTTTCTGTTCTCTGATCAACATGCTAAAGCATCTGAGGTTCTTGTGAGTATTGTACAATACTGGGGTAATTCTCATGAGATGCCCCCCTACTGTTAAGGTAGGTACTCAAATTCATCCATCCGTCCATTTTCTGCCGCTTATCCGGGGTCGGGTCGCGGGGGCAGCAGCTTCACAAGGGAGGCCCAGACTTCCCTCTCCCCAGCCACTTCTTCCAGCTCCTCCTTGCGTTCCCAGGCCAGCCGAGAGACATGGTCCCTCCAGCGTGTCTAATTAACTATTAAATTTAACTTGCATTAACTTTTGTTGACTTAATAAAATCAGATGACTTTTATCGTATTCTGATATTTAAAACCCTGGCTTTGAGAAGATCCACATTTATTCTTACCACTTGTTAAAAGGCCTGTAAAGGGGCTTTGCAACCTTGAATATCTGTGAAATGTGAATATCTCAGATTTTGATACGTTTTTAACACAGAAGAGCAATAAAACAAAACAAAAAATCTGATACTTAAGAATAAAACTGAACACAAACGATTAATAATAAATAAAAAAAAAGTAGCCAGACTTGTTATATGGAAGACGCGTATTGTCCCTCCAGGATGAAAAAAGAAACTTCATACGAACACCGTAAAAATATGACGAGCAGTGCTTCTGTGGAGCAAAAGATCTTGTGTGGCAAATAATCAGCAGTTGTTTCTCCTTCCAGCAAAGCTTGGCAACAAATCCCTGACAACTGTGGCCCAGCAACCATGCCAAGCAGTGAGTCACATCTAACCATGCACACCTAGTGAGGTCTGCGCCACTGGGCAGCATAAACAGGAACCAGGGGGCTTGGAGGGCTTAAAGTGAAATCATAGAGGCAAAGAAGGCAACAAAATAATCTCTGACTAGATCTTTGTGCTGTTTTTTTTTTTTTGTTTTTTTTTTTATGCATCCACTGAATTTAAATGTGTAGGCTTTTCAGTGATAAAGGAGCCAATTACGTAAATTTTCTTGCAAAACGATGAGCTAGTCGGCCGCTTGCTCTTTGCTTAGATGAACCCTCCATAATGGTGGTATTAGAGCAGAAACTAAATTGACTAAAAGTAATAACTCTACTCTTTAAAGATGCTACAACCTTGAGAACTATTTTGAAACGTTCGTATTTTCTTGTTGCAATCAAAACCGTTGATTTTAACGGGATTTTATGCGACATAGTGTAGACATAGTTGTGCATAGGACGTGGAAGGAACATGATGCACCACAGGATTGTGTTCTTTTGTATTTATCCCTTTAATTGTAGAACCTTTAAATGAAATCAAGTGTCAAATATCGCACCATAAAGACAAGAATCCACCAGAGAGTTCAGGGATAATGCTGTGGAGAATCGTTTGGAACAATATCTCACACTCGACATCAGTTAAGTAGTACTGTGATTGTTAACAGAAAGGTGCAACTGCTCGTCAGTGTGCAGGTTGTATTGTAAAGTTAACACTACAACTTTATAAGCAGTTCTTATAAAGCTTTTTTTTTTATTTATTTGTTTTTTGTTGTTTTTTTTAAGAAAAAGTTACGTCTTTGAGTGCCTAATGTAGTTTCAAAATGCAACAACACTTTGTTTACTTTTATGTAAAGAACTTTGGAATGAAGGTGGAAAGCCAGAGAGCTGTAACAGAATATGAAGTACAGTCATTTTTGTTGCAGTAAAAAAAAAAAAAAAAAAAAACAGAAACAGAATAGCGGGTATTTATCTTTATTTCTCCTCCCAACTTCTCCCACATTTTTTTTTTCTGTTTAACTGGACAAGAAGACAAGAGGCTTGCTCTTTTCGACACTTACTACGAAGACATTTCTCAAAGGATTTGATGCTTCCTTTTGGGCTGCAGGTAAGATTTCAGCTTTTTGTGATGAGTTTGTAATATGTCTCTTTGTTTGTTTTTTTCCAACCTAGCAGTAGGTTAAGTGTGGTGTGGTCTCAGTTTTCAGTACTCACTCGTAAATCCTTGCCTCAAAGGTCAGGCTTAATAAGCTAGACTGGAACTGCTGTAAACCAGAGACAACCAAAGGTACCAGGAAAAAAAAAAACTGTTTTATGACCTTTGATAGCAGTGTCCAGTTCCAGTCAGTCCTCGAGTGTCAGTGTCCTGCATGTTTGACGTGTCCCTGTTCCAACATGCCCTGTACAATAATATAGCGATTCTCTCCTTCAGATATTTTTGAATGCCGATCAGAACATCTAACTTTAAATATTTGCCTTAAACATTTATTAGTTTTTTTTTTTAATGTACAGATCTACATTGTTATTAAGCTATTGAATGATATAGGTAACAAGCTGTGGAAAATCTTACCTACAAGTTCCTGAAGTTTGATAAGTAGGTCACGAACATTAGGTGGTGATGTTTATAAACGATAACTGTTGCTATTAGCGATTAGCACAGTTAGCACAGTACAAGTTTCTTGCTTCAGCTGATGCTCGCTTGTTTCTCTTTACAGGGACGCTAATATGTAAAATCGACCTTTTGAGCTTTACATCATGTTCTTCGTCATGAACATGATGTAATTCCTTATTCCTTCGTCGAAAAATATTCCGAATGTCACTTTGATTCTTTTATGCATGTTTGAGAAATCCTATAATCTACCATGACAACCATTTGTGTCGAAGCGCTCGCTCTCACAGAGTGGCACTTTTTTTGTTCATGCATCTCCTCCTTGGTTTAGGACTCTCCAAACTGAGCTTCCTCCTTAAAGAGCACTCCTCCCTCCCCTACCACTCCCTCACTGAGCTCCTTCAAACTAGTGGCAGCAGCAATTAGCAGACACCTGGTGGAACTGAGCATCTGCTGAGATCATCATAGGAATTACTTCTCAGGTTGTTGAAAGATCCATGGAGAAACATAGTGATTTCCTGCAGGAAGAGTGCCAGAAAGAGCAGGAGCTTCTTGGAGACAGAGATTTCTCTTTGATTTTACCGTTTCGGCCTGATTAATGAAATACGTGACGGTGTCTTGTATTTTACCAATTTAAGCCCTGATTCATTTCCAAATCATTCATAAGAATGTGTCGTGTGATTTTATTTTTAAAAACTACATTTTGTCCTGGTAATTTTTTTTATTTACTATGTTTTCAACAATATCTTCAGTGTGTGAGGTGTTTATACATTATCTTTAGATATATCTACCATGACAAACTCAGAATAAGGAAAATTTTATTGGATGAAAACTGATTTGACTACAACAACTTGATCCTCTCTTCATGTCTGTTTGTTCCTCCTTTTAACAACAGCGGTCCTGCTCTCCTTTTAACAAAACACAACCAACTTTGGGAGTCCAAAATCCCATCTCTGCAGCTTTGGGCTCACCAATCACAACCAGCGCCGCCATTTACCAGCCCGGTAACGAAGCTCCACAAACCGATTCTGCACATCTGTGTCGATGATGAGGACCACCCCTGCTCTGCTGTTCGTCTGTTTTTGGATGAACTCTGGCATCCAGGCTGTTCAGAAAGGCGAGTTTTACAATTCGATCCAAACTGAGAGATGCAAATGCAGAACTGCATGTCTCCTTTTTCTCTGCAGATCAAAAATGTGGCTCTACTCCGGCGGTGAACCCAAAGCGTCGATTCCTGAGGGTAGTCGGAGGAACCCAAGCTACATATGGATCCCACCCGTGGCTGGTCAGTTTGTTTAACTTTAGGTTTTCTAGAAGGTGTTTACAGCTAAATATTTTCCTAAGAGATTTGTCTTAATCATTCTCTGATAAGTAACAAAATGTTTCTGTCTCTAAAATCTCTCAAACGTAATCAAATAATCTAATTGGTATTATATATTTTTTTTAAATGTAACACTGCAAAAGAAGGAAAACAGAACCAAATCTCTGTATGGTTACTGTTTCTGTGCAAGTTAGAATTGGCCTTGTAGCACAACTAGCTGCAATAGGAAGTAAGAAAAGAATTGGTTTGTAACTTTATTGACAAATTCCCCAAGCTGTTGTGGGATCGTTTATGGTGTCTTGATTGATTTAATCCATTTAGGAACCATTTGGGTGAACATTTATTGTAGTGGATGCATTCAGTAGGAGAACATTGCTGTAATAATGATTATTAATAGTCAACATGATAAAGTGGTTGTTTAGCAATGCCAGAAACAATTTCACAGGTCTGTGATTTGTGCTCACCCTAAACATGCACAGAAAATCGAGGTGCATCCAGACGATCCCAGTTTTAACTGATTTATTTCAAGTCATTTTAATGTAAAAATGTTGTAGCAAATGTTTTAATCTGTCGTGTGTGTGTGTGTGTGTGTGTGTGTGTGTGTGTGTGTGTTTTATATTAAGGTATCGATACAGAATAAAGGCTCTCATTTCTGTGGAGGGGCCATTCTGACTGACCGCTGGATACTGACTGCAGCACACTGCTTCCCATCCTTATCAAAGTACCAAGATCCAGTGGTACCTGTGATCAGTCCCATACGACATGACACAAACATGCAACAGAAAGGATTAGCTGTTTTTTTTTTTTTGTTTCTGCCTAGTGTCTTTCTGAGTAGTGTGACGGTTCTGGTGGGAGAGTTTGACCTGCGAGTAGAAGACAAAGATGAGCAAGTCTTCACAGTCAAGTCTCTGTTAATCCATGAGAACTACAACCACGCGTGTCCAATGAATTATGACATAGCTCTGGTGGAACTGGATCGTCACGTCGCAATGGGCAGGTTTTCGTTCTTTTGAGTCGCATACTTTAAATAACTTTGCCGGTGGCCTCTTTGTTTGTTGCTGACATGTGACTGTGTTTAACAGGAGCTCGTGTCAGGCCAATATGTCTGCCTCTGCCTGATTTCAAAATCCCGCCATCGACTAAATGTGTTGTTGCTGGTTGGGGAAAGACATGGGAAAGTCTGTATTTTTTATTTTTTTTTTAATCTCTTACAGTGCTTTGTTGAACTCCATGGACATTTTATTTTATTTTATTTTATTGTGCTTGTAGAAGAGATTTTATAAAATAGACAGATGCAAAACAGAGCATATTTGTAAAGTGGAATGAAAATGATACATGGCTACAAAATTAGCTGACTAATCTATAAAGGCTTTCTGTGCATACGTGCATTTTGCTCCTCTGAGTCATTGCTTTACACAAACACAAGTCTTCAGGTCTTTTGGCACAATATCTTTATCGGCTTTGCAAATCTATAATTTGAATTTTGAAATTTTGAGATTCATTTGGATTGGATTGAGAGCGTTGGTGAAAAGCAATTATCAAGTCTCTCTGCAGATTGTCAGTTGTACTGATTTGTTGCCCAGGCTTTTATCTAGGTTTATCAAAGTAAACGGGGCTTATTAGATTCAGACTTTTTATTTTTTTTAATCAAATTGGAAGTTGTGTTTTGTATTCATTCCACTTTACAATCAAACGCTACATTGCATTGAAATATGTGGTTGCTATGTGACAAAAATGTGGAAAAAGTTCAAGGAGTTTGAATGCTTCATTGCAAGATATTGTGTAACAAATGCTTTAAGAGCCATCTGTAGCTTGTTTTTCTGCTAAATATCTTCTTCTGTTTTGAAGGAGGACACATTCCTGCAGTCCTGAGAGAAGTCCACCTGGGTTTGGTGGATCAAGCCAAGTGTAAATATGTCCAACTGATGATCAAAAGCTCATTTCCAAAACAGAAACAAAAGTTCCTCAATCCAGCCATGACGATTCTGTGTGCTGGAGCTGAGGGAGGAGGCAGAGACGCCTGCCAGGTAGAAGTGGTTCATTCTGCTTCTAACATCTGAGCATCTGTTCAACATTCATCACATGCCAGAGCAGTGTGAATCAATTGTCTCATTCCGAATGTCTTCCCTCCTCTTCCTACTTGATATTTCCCCCAAGGGAGACTCTGGTGGCCCTCTGGTATGTCAGGCAGGGGCCGGAAGCGACCGCTGGATCGTGCTGGGAATAACTTCCTGGGGCCAAGGATGCGGTCGCAGCTGGGGAATGAAAAGCAACCGGCATCCGTCAAAGAAAGGATCTCCGGGAATTTTCACTGACGTCAAGCTGCTGCTGCCCTGGATCAAGCAGAAGATGAGGGAGGGTAGGCCAAAGATGGCAGTGATATGATGGAGTCAAATCAAAGCTTCTCTTTTCATACCATTTTCTTCTTTGTGTTTTGCTTTAGCTGAGCAGCAACAACTATCAACTTCAGGTGACTTTTTCTCTCATCACTCCAATTTTTATTCATGCTTATTTTACAACATCTACTGATCTTGTCGGTGTGTGTATATCAGGACTGTGTAGTGTGACAGATGGCCCGGTATCGGACAGTGAAGGGTTGATCAGGAACCCCGCTTTCCCTGACACCTACTACGACAACAACCAGTGAGTTAAACCTTTCAGAAGCTTCACGCTTAAGCGTGAACGCTAATAGTTGTCACACTGAAGCGACAGCTGCAAACTGTTGTCAGAAACTGGTGTCAAGGTATGGGAAAGATAAATGAATCAGTCAACAGCAATATGAAATATCTTGTGTTTCCTTCTGCAGGTTGTGTTTGTGGAGCATCGAGGCTCGTCCAGGTCACAGCATTCTGCTAGAGTTTGATCATTTTGACGTGGAAAATAGCTCGTATTGTCGGTTCGACCGACTCACAGTTTCAGGATCAAAGAACAGGCCTGTTGGTGAGTCCTGTTACTGTATTAAAGGCTAAACGAAAAATAGCAATAACCTTTTTAGGTTTTGCTCAAAATGTCACACACTTAAAAGCACTGCATAGAAAGAAACAAATATTTAAACGCTGCAGCCAGCAAAAAAAACCAACGGTTTCTTCACATCTTAGGTTTTCGGGGAATTTGTTAAACAGGTGGGGAGCGTAACACCTAATCGCTCCCATTTTGTTCCATTCTGGTCCTGAGACCTCTTGGTAAGCAGGTATCTTATGACACGCTTCATTCATTCAGAAATGCATATAGGAGGAAATCATTCAGTATTTTCAGAATAAATTCTTTTCCTATTCTTTTGACCAAATGACAGCACAAGTTTGTGTGTGCCAAATGAGACCTGAGCCAGTTTAGCGAAGAACTACAGTCCCATCCAATCTCAGTCTACCAGTTAGTATGAAATGATCGACTGGGTCATTTAATTTAAAACTTTTACCAGCAATATTGAATGGCACAATAACTTATTAGTTAGTCCTAGTGCTTAGACTTACTTCTCTGCTTTTATTTGAGGAACCATTTATTCTCACTAATTAAAAAACAAACAAACAAACAGGTGAAACAATTTCAACATAGAATGAAACTCCATTTAATTTTGTGTCCTGCGTTTTTGTTTACAGCAATATTCTGCGGTAAATTACGACCAGCTCGAGTGCTTCTACGGAATTCCCAGAATGCAGTGCTGCTCTTCTCCTCTGACATTAATAGAGCAGGGCGTGGCTTTGCAGTCAGGTACCGTGGGATCAAGGGATCCTTCCCTCCAGGTGAGAAACATGCTGCAAACACTCCGGAACAGTGTTATTGTATAACTCTCTGCAAAAATAAGACTAAAATTGAAATATTTGTTTCAAGAAAACCTTACAGAGCATAACAGCCTAACTCCTATTACGGTGTGGTGGTGTTGATTATTTGTTGGGGTTGTTTTGTAGCCATTGGACTCGAGAACGGTTTCGGACAATAGCAAACATGGAGGCAGTAGAGGAAGTTGTGATAATACACATTGTCAGAAAGAGACATAAGAAGAGTGGCGCAAAACCGCCTAGAGGTAGCCATTAAGCACATTGTCCGTTTTTCAATTTGTTTTTCCCTTTGTCTTCTTCGTTCCTTGATTGCATGCATAGAGCTCCACACTGCACCCCCTGGTTACTCGTGGTATTACGAGTAACCAGGGGTCAATTTGTTGCTTTTTGATGGACTCGTGCAAACTTCTTGATGACGGTCTAAAATGGACATGGAAACTGCATAGTCCCTGCGTATTATTAACCTTGAGAATTAAAGAGCCTAAATGTCAGGCCATTTGCCTGACAGCTGATTTTTGGCCCAAAGTAGATAATCAACAGGACACTTATCACAAACATAGCTGCAAATGTTCAACAGAATGAGTGAAAAAAAAAAAAGACCAAAGTCCAAACTTCCTAGTTAAATGCAATGGGACCTTGAGAAGGCTGTTCAGAAACAACAATCTGCAAACTTTAATAAACTGAACTGATATCCTAAATATGATTGGGGCAAATTTCACTCAGTGACTGGAGACTGAGAAAGTCAGATGGAAAACAACTACATAGTTATTGATATTAAAGATTAGATTAGAAAAAAAAAAACAAAGAAGCCCTTGGAAATCCTAAATAACTATCATCCAAGACTATTTTAAAAAGATTACAAGAAGCAAAATATAATGAAAAGACGGATGAGAAGTGTTTGCACAAGTGGAGTACAGTCTTACCTTCTCTGTTAACTGCGGTTCCTATGGCAACGTATTATGCAAGCAGACTTCCCATGACATGATAATAAGCAAAAAACACAACAATCTACCACTTTATTTGAGGCAGTGAAGATGATGAATACACTTAGCTATGAGACTTTTTCCTTGTAAATGTGTTTAATTTTATTGCTGCCCTTGAGGTTAATAACACACATTAACCTCTGTTGTGTATCCCCCCACCACCATATTTGGCCGATAAGCATGTGGGACTATTGTTCTGGTGGAGGATCAGATTTCACTCCACACCCCAAATTACCCACAGTCCTACAGTAATGACTGTGCGCTCCGCTGGGTCATCTACTCTCCTCCGGGACATCTAGTTAAGGTAATAATAACCTCAATAAACACACCTTTAAAATTAAAGGTCCTCGCATGTAGATTCTCTTGTAATCTAACGTTTGATTGCAGCTGACGTTTGCTGATTTTGACCTGGAAGAGTCGGAGAGATGTTTGCATGATTCACTGACAGTTCTGGGGGACATTGAAGGAAACAAAGAGATTGGTAAGATTAAAGAATTGGATTAAAATAAATCTGATTACAGGATAAAAAAAAACTGAAATACAGTAGGATCTCTTTCGAATGTTTATGTTCACCTTATGTTTATGTCTTATTAGCATAAAGCTGTTAAAACCCAACAATTAAGATTTTCAAAAAAAGTGGAATATTACGCAAGAGCAATGAAAACTTTTTTTTTTCCGTTCTATTCTGTGCAAAAAGTCACCCGTTATTTCCTTCTAGTTTCTTGTTTGCTTCCAAGCTGACGGAGTTTCTCTTTAACAATGACTTTGGTCAATGGTTCTTCAGGTCCTTTGAAAATATTTCAAAAGTTTTTCATGAGTTCTCAAAGGAGCGTTTTTTTTTTTGTTTGTTTTTTTTAAAGCCATTTTAGTCTCACATATGAATCACTTTAAACTCTAAGCTCGAATTTCAAAATAAAAACTTAAGAAAGCATGTGTACCACTTTAAAAATGGCCCGGTGTTTATGAAGCAGAGTACTGCATAAAGAAATTAGAGACGGACTTAAAACCTTTGCACTGCACAGTCCATGGAAATACTTGGAAACAAAAATGCAGAGCTCACGCCTTACTTCTTTTTGTTTTGGAACAAAAGATTTTGTAATATTGCAGAATGAAAAAGAGCAGTGATCGTTAGTTTATTTGCTTCGTTTTTATTATTATTGTTTTGTTTTCATAGCTGTGTTGTGTGGCGGCAGTATTCCCCCTCCGGTCCTCTCCTTCAGCAGCATCATGGTGCTTCATTTCACGTCAGACAGCCGCATCACTCGCAGGGGCTTCAGCGCAGGACTGACCTTCATCAGGAAGGAAGGTGTGGTTATGTCCTTAAAACAATTCCCCTCACTAGGGAACATAACACCAACATGAATGCATCATGTGGTTTGATCTGTCTTTTGCTCCTTACCTGCACGACAAGAAAGTACATGTATATTTAATGGAGTCTTTCTCGTTCAAGAGCTCTTTAGTGGGATGTCATGGCCTCTGTTGTGGAGCTGCTCTCTGGTCAGCTGCGTTTCTGCAGAGGCAATCTTGGTTAAACAAGGCTGAGCTTGTGGCATTTAGAGTGGCTGTTGGGCATTTGGCACTGAGGTGACCACTGGGAAGTTGGTGTCCCTTTAAAAAAAATAATGGAAGCAACAAAGTTTGCAATCAAAATATAAGGAAATGTCAGTTATCCGTTTCCATAACATAGACAGTGGAGAGACGTTTCAGGCCAATTGAGACTGAGAAACAAACAAACAAACAAATAAAAAAAAAAAATACCCTGAAAGGAAAATTAAAATCATGACACTTTTATTGCATTATTCATTTTTTCAAAACTTCAGTAAAAAGATCAGAAATGTTGTTGAAATAAAAATAATAATGAAATGTATTCTCATTACTTTTCTCTCATTTCATAGTATATTTAAGATGTTGCTGCTTTGGCTCCTGTTTCAGATGGAACCGTTAAGATCAAAACGAGAATAGTGAATCATGGATCCATAAAAGCTTCGTTTTTTTTTTTTGTTTTGTTTTGTTTTTTCCTCTCGTTGCTTCTGGTTTCCTTTATTTTTGATAAGGACACTGTGTGCATGTGAAAGCACAGGCATATAGGTAGACATTGAACTGTCTTAACAATATAGTAACATCTTCAATGATTTAGTACAGCCTCACTTTCAAAGAAGCTGGGACGTTGTGTAAAATGTACATTTAAAAAAATGGAGCACAGGATTGACAAATTTCATAAACCCCAATTTTTCTCAAAACAAAAAGTAGTTTACATTTCCAGAGAAACCCCCAGCAGTTTATAAATTACAGGCTACTTATTCTTATTAAACATAAGTAGCCTGTAGTTTTATACTTTTATTTTATTTTCGCTCTTTCCTTTGGTTTATTGTTTTGTTTGTATGTCCTTCTAATTCATGTAAAGCACATTGAACTGCCTTGATGCAGGAAATTTGCTACATAAATACAATTTATACCATGCCATATCAAATGTTCATGCTAAGAAGTTAATATATGAATGTGTTAATTTTGATGGCATTAAACAACATGAAAGCAAGTTAAAGTAGGGGCAATAACAAACTTTAAAAAGAACAGGGGAAAAAAACAGCTGGAGGTTGTTTTTTTTCTTTGCATCTGTTTTATATATAATTTCCCAGAAAAACTATGTCTTACAAAAGTGGAGCAATTTTATAATGGAGATCCTTAATAAAAAAAAATAATAATTGGAAAGATTTTGAACGGTTTATAATCTACAGTTTGTAATTTATCAAAAGATGGAACCTGACTGGTGTAGCAGGCAGCCCAGGTACAGAGGCCTTTATTTCTCAATACAGCAATCGGGGGTGTGACCCCTGACCTCGGCACCTTTGTTTTGAGGAACTGTATATTTTAAAAAATTTTAATATTTCTTCTAATTCTTTTAGATTCAATGTGTGTGGCAGTGTTTTTATCACCCTTATAAGTTTTTGATGGACACAAATGACTTTTCATGTCTGATAAATCTTCTTCATACCAAAACAATCATTCCTCTTTCAGTTGTTTAGTTTTTCTTGACGTGTGTTTTCCTTTGTCTCTCAGCTCTCCTTTCTGAATGTCTCCAGTGTAAACTCTCACCACACCCAGAGCCTTGGAGACCTTGGTCTTGCTTTTCCCCTGGCTATCTCTCTTTCTTCTCCCAGTTTGTGAAAGTGGAACTCCACCCACTGACATTTGCAGTGACTCATACAAGGTGTAGGTAGCCGGTATGGTTGTGTAAGCTACTAGTATTCATAATGCACAAGGAGCAGGAGTTACTTTCTGAATGCTTTCTCACATTTTTATTTATTTTTTATTTTTTTGGCTTTCATGTGATTTTGGTTTTTCTGCCCGCAGCAGTGCTGTTTGTCAGCCAAATGATATTCTGTTTTGCTAGCTTCTCTGGAAACCAGTGAACACTGTGCTTATTGAGGATAACTTGGCAGAAATGGTGACCACTTCAGACAACAACACATCAGTGTTGCAACTACAAAGTCTGTGTGTTTCCAAACACTTTCTGTCTGGCATTCCAGAATATTTAATTATATTTCCTACGTTACTGTTGGTGTAAGATGCCTACGCATACCTAAACATGTTAGAAATGGGTACTGGCAATTTGTTTGTAGTAAAGAGACGAGCATAATTGTTTTTTTTTCAGTGACTCGGTATTGGGGAAACAATCATATCTTGGCAAAGCAGTGACTCAAAACTTAAACTTCAAGCTTTAACATCTGACCTCGAGTTTTGGTGCAGAGGCAAGAAGAAAACTTTGTTTTACGGCTCCCTCTACTGGCACATCTGAGGAACTACAAGCTATGTTTGATACAGCGTTAGTTTGGAAGAATTTCCTAAACAAATGCATTCTTGGCAATGATAAAAGTGATGTTCAGTTCCTCTCTAATTTCTCTTGTTGCATCGCTACTTCTGGTCCAACACTATTTTAAAAATACATAAAATACTCAGCTTGATTGTGACCAGAATTCGCTGTAAAAAAAACTCATAAAAATAGAACGGAAACCGCAGCTTTGCTGTAGAACATGTTTGAAAGTTTAAAAAGGTCACAAACATTTTTAAATTTGCATGACTGATTTGGTGTTTTATAATATTTTGTATTTAGTGTCATGTCCTGCTGATACTTTCTCCAGATGTTATTCTTGTGAAATATTTGAGGACCTCTTCATTGTACGCTCCTCAGATTTTTATTTCTACATGTAAAGTTTATAGACCATATCTAACTAAGAGTTGTGGATAAGTTGTTTAAGACTTACTTATAACTGTATTATTGTTTTTTTTTTCTTAAGATAAATATGTGTTGAAGTGTCACGTTCTTTAGGGAATAGTAACTTAATTAAAAAAAAAAAAAATCTTAATCTCTTTGTTTAAAGGAACTTTTGTCTTGCAGATTCACTCAAGCAGCAGTCCAGAAGCAAAGCTCTGACCCATTAGGTGTTGAGAAACAAGAGTCCTCAGCGGATCAAAGATTTCATGCTGGAAGGAAATCGGATCACGAAGAGCACAGTGGTGAATCCTCGCGAAATTGACACTTATTGCTGGAATGAGACTCATCTTCATTTAGAAAGAGAGAAACTAGAATTGATCAACCACTTTCTGTTCAGTCTCTGATTGGTGTTAGCTTTCAGGGCAAACATAAAAAAAAAATAACATTGTTTACATGTTGATTTACCTGTGTAAAAATAATCTGGTGTCAAGACTTAAAATTGAAATGCAACTTTTGTAGAAATAGAATTTTTCACGATGTTCATAGAGTCACATTTCTATTAATTGCAATAAAGGACATTAGCTGATTGCACATTAATAGCAGTGTGCAAACTCATTTCTTTCCATCTTACTTTTAAAAAGTTTTTTATCCATTTGAAGAGGCGATGATGAACAGTTTTTCAGATTTTCAGTATTTAAAAGTTTGACTTTGGGCTTTAATTTTCTGTATGATAGCGGACCTTTTGTAAAAGAACATATTTGCGTATATCAATCTGAACCGTCTTGACTCTGACATAAACAATTCAGGCATTAAAAAGGAGTTAAACAGTGTTGTGTCAGTGACGGGCAACTTGGCAACCAACAATTTAAGTGGATCTTTTAATCTTTTTCTTTGAAAAATGCCAAATAAGAAAGATGGTTTAACTTAAACTAATATTTGAGAACGAAGGTGGTGAGATCCAAAGAGCAAATTTGGAAAAAGGTAGATGATCTCCAGTCCTTCTTGGACATTATTCCTGTTTCTGAAAGATGCGACTTTCAGATCCCTTAAATCTGCAAACGATGGCATCTGAACCTGGAAATTGTTTTAAAACAAGCTGAAACTTCTCACTGGAACAAAAATATGAAGATATAAGAGGTGGTGGTGTACAAGTTTGCTGTTGCAATCAAAACCATGTTTGATGTTCCACTTTCTTGCTCAACCACTGAGCAGATCCCCTCCTGCAGAGCTATTGGCCACCTGGTTGTTGCACAGCAGCAGGTTTGTTAACTTTTAGATTAAAAAAAAAAGAAAAAAAAAGAAATGCACTATCTCTCTCTCTGTGGATCACAGTGTTGATACCGAGTCTCTCTCCTCCCCCTCTGTCAGTGGTGTGATTTCAAGGGTCTTCTCGCTGTCAAAGCACCACCTCTGCACCATGTGACATGATCAGATCCATGTTTCCATTGGTGCTCCGGACCTGTCACCTTTCTCCCCAGACAGGAAGCCACATCCCGTTGTAGAGACTGTGTGTGTGCTGCTGTGGTAGGTTAACGAGGATGTGTGCGTGCGTGTGTGTGTGTATGAGGGCGGGGAGAGGAAGCTATCATTGGCTGAACTGTGTGTGGACTCTGGTCTCAGACCGTTGGAAGACGAGGTTCACTTTAGTGCACATTAAGCTATGGACTCAACCTTGGTGAGAATAATGCTTTTTTCTTTTTCAAATATAACAACTTCTATGTGCATTAAATGTTATATTTACTCACATTACTGTATGCATTTTACGTTGCATATAACCCACTTAAATACACGTTAATATGGGGGAAAAAAAATCCTAACGAGTGACGTGGAAAGCTGCAAGTTTTCTTTCTTTTTGTTAACTGCGATCACATTAAACGTAACGTTTTGTCTTGCAGACGATCCCTGTGGTGTTGGCGGTGTCTGTAGTGGTCATAACGTTGCTGTACTTCCTTCTTGGAAACTCCACAGAAGGAAAAGGGAAGGGCCCTGTGACCCTAAAGGATCCTACGATCAAATACTCGCTACCGCTCATTAGCAAACAGGTGGGATGAACAAAATAACTTTTGGCATGTGTTCCCAACTCACACTGGGATAAAAGAACTGGTTAAGCCAAATAAATCAGTTTGATTCGTTCCGACACAGCTTACAAAACAAGACTGACGTTAGTAGCAGCAGTCATTGGCTTTTTTTCTTGGGAGAAATGACCAATTTTACAGCTTTGTTCACCTCAAGTGTTTAAATGTAAGACGGAAAACATCAATGGGGATTCTCGCTGCTGATCTCAACAACGAGTTGTCGTCTTGCTATGTTGGACGATTGTAAGTTCAATTCCAGCTTCTTCCTGTCACATGCTGATGTGCACCTGAGCAAGGCTCTTGACCCCAAGTTGTCTGCGTGGCGGTGTATAAATGCCTGTGCATTTCTGAGCGCGAATTTGACTTTTTCCAGTCTGTATGACTAGAAAACGCAATTTTAAGATCAGTTCATTTATCTCCTGTTTAGTAATACATGTGGAATAATCTGCCTCGGTAAACTTAAGGGACTTCAGAGTGAGCTGCTTGCCTTGTTTAAGGTTGGCTTAGCGTTGATGTCGACTAAATGGTTTATACAAAGACTAAAAAACAATATGCATACGGCACTAGGATTCTTTGATTGATACTTTGCCAATAGTTTTGTTTTAATCACACTGAAAAGACAAAGATACACTTTAACTTCTCTTAGGTGTATAAGTGTGTTACATGAATGCAAGGAAAAAATCTCTTTATTACACTAGAAGTGCTCTTACAGTAGAAGTGTTTAAAGATGAGCACAGTCTTAAACTGAAGTTATTTTTTTTTATTATTATTATTAGCAGTCCAGCTAAGGTCATATCGTTTGGCTGTTTCACACTCTCGTGTGTGTCCTTGTGCAGGAAATCAGTCATGACACAAAGAAATTCCGGTTTGGCCTTCCATCTGAGTCTCACATCCTTGGACTGCCAGTGGGTAATGAAATATCTCTGATAAATCTGTCCCAGAGTGTCTTGTAAAGAAGCAAGAATGTAGGAACATCTGAGTCAGTTTCACATCATTTTCTTTTTTTTTTACAACCACTGAACATCAATGTTTCGATTTAAAAACCATCTAAATACTCGTAACTGTTAAGAAGCAAACACTTGATTAATATCAGATGAGCTGCACGGACAAAAAAAAAAAAAAAAAAAGCTTAATCTTTTCCCATTTTTGCTAAACATTTATCTTTCTTTCGGTCACATTTAGTCATCCGTCTTATCCTCCAGGTCAGCATGTTTACCTGTCGGCCAAGGTCAAAGGCAACCTGGTTGTCAGGCCTTACACTCCAGTGTCCAGCGATGAAGACCAGGGATTTGTTGACCTTGTGGTTAAGGTGGGTAACCTAGAATCAACAGAGCTGGAGTATTTTATGTGGCTGGAAATGTCCCAGTGTCCAACAATAGTATTGAAATCTAACGTCTTATTTGTGTTATGCTACTTTATACATCACCATGTCTAAAGCTGACTTACATGTACATATTGTTTTACCTGGCACTTAAGAACTGCTTTGTACATGTAAAATTTATTTATGCATATTAATTTGTTTCTAAGTGTTTTCTAACGGTTAATAAATCACAGAGAACTCCTTAAATATCAAGTGATTTTGCATATGCATGATTGTTGTCAAGATATACTACAAAGGGACCCACCCAAACTACCCAGATGGGGGGCAGATGTCTCAGTACCTGGACAACATGGCCATCGGAGACTCTATTGACTTCAGGGGACCCAACGGACTTCTCATCTACAAAGGCAAAGGTATGGAGTCAACTGCATCTCTTAGCAGAAGTAAAAGACACTGCTGCATGTTCACTGTTTTCACCAGCAGGTGGCACTGTGTTGCAATAGGAGGATGAAACTCTTGATTTCCACTTTCCAAGCTCGTTTCCTGTCTCCTCTCATTAGGCATGTTTTCTATCCGAGCCAACAAGAAGACGGAGCCGGTTGTCCAGAAGTTTAAACATGTTGGAATGATCGCTGGTGGAACAGGTATGTTCGTTACGAGCTATTGATCAGTTTTATCCTGTTCATGCAGGCACATCGTTGTACCGCGTGTTTACCTATCGCACTTAAATGACTCTACAGTAGGTAAAATAATTTTTTTAGCTGTGCACCAGCTGATATTTTTACGAAACAGAGGATTTATTTTACCTTTGTATCTCCTCTGGTAGTAACTTTCTGGCTCTGATTGCCTCAGGTATCACCCCGATGCTGCAGCTGATCCGACGGATCACATCAGATCCTGCCGACAACACCAAGTGCTCCCTCATATTTGCCAACCAGGTCAGTTGTTTGGGTTTTTTATTGTTTTAGCAAGCATTGTGAGTGTGGCTGCATGTTGAACATTCCTGTTTTTATTATTTTATTATTGCCTATCTCAGACTGAGAAAGATATTTTACTGTGGGACGAGCTGAAGGATGTGCAGAAGAATCACCCAGAGAAGGTTAAAGTCTGGTACACTTTGGACAAGCCTTCAAAAGGTGAGACTCCATGAGACAAAATGTTGGTTGGCGTTTCGTTTTAAATCCTTTTGCATCTTCAACAGAACCAGAAACCCAGTAAAAGTCTTCTCCCCAAAGCACTAAGTGGGGAACATGTCCACTAAGGTTTTATTGTTTTTTTGTTGTTGTTGTTTTCCTCAGAGTTTTATGTTCAGTTTTTAAAAGGCTTTGGATCACAAAAATAAAATAATTAACTTATCCCTTTACTAAATTTTGCTTAAAATTTGTCAGATTTGTGACTTTTGCTTCCAAGTGAATAAATAAAATGAATAAATATTTTTAGCCAGTTATGATTTCCAATATTGATGGATTAAAGTACGTCTGATATTGTAGCACTGTTTCCAGATCTTCTGTAGTCAGTTGAGCAAATATCTAAGTTCATATCTTTGCTCCTGTTCAGCAGCTAAAACAATAAATGGCACCCATGACCAAGAGGGATATTAACGCTTTAAAGTAAATTGTTGGTTTGGTAAATGCAAGAGTTTTGATGGCGAGTTCTTGCTTTGTGCCTGATATTTTTATTTTTTATTAATTTATTTTTTCCGTCGTGCCGTTTCTGAACTGCCACTCACATTTGTGGCATAATAAACTTGCATGAGGTCGGGATGTTCTCTGGGCTAATTTAGGGTAGTATTTTTAATTTTTAATTTTTTTGTTTTCGAGCTTTTAGTTTGTGTTGATTTTAGAAGTAATGAAGGTCTTATTGTGGACATGAGGGTCTTATTGTGCAACTACCCTTGATGTTGACAGTACACTATATTGCCAAAAGCATTAGCCTGTTTGTGTTCTCTTCTGTGTTTACGAGAATTTCTAAACATCCTGTTTTGAAGTTGGACACTAATGTCGGTTCACATTATTTGCTCTAGTTCTTTCCAAAGGTGACCTGGCAAGTCAAGTTCTTCCACACCAGACTCACTTACCCATGGCTTTGCCTCGCTTTGTCGACTCGTGTGCAGTCATGTTGGAACAGAAAAAGGCAAACTGCCATCGTCGTGTGGTTAAACAATTCGATTTTTTTTTGTTTGTTTGTTTGTTTGTTTTATCAGACCCCAAGTCCAAATACCAGAAGTCTTATTCATATTCTTTGCAGAGTTTAGATTTTCCAAAAGCCACGCTGACTAATGTGTGCCGAAGTGGTTTCCTCCTTGATCTGCATCCCTGGGATCCACCAGTACGCAATGAACTTAAACACTTTTGGATGCGACAGTGCAGCTCTTTCTTTGAGTTATGAGCCACTACAATGCTCAGCTCCAGATCCTCACAAAGTGGTTTATTTACCACAATCAGCTGCAGAAAGCTGCTGTTTTCCCATCTGCAGAGTGAATGAAAACAACTGGTTCCCATCATTTCCAAAGTAAAATCAGGCTAATTGGAATGCTTTCAAACACACGATCTATTGGAAGTTCCCACAAATACAATTTGCAAAAAGTAAGAGTAACTTAAACCATACTTTTTTTTTTTCATAAATTCTAAGTCAAACTTAGAAGTTTCTTTTTTTTGCTTTTAGCATCTTATTTTTACACATGGATATTTCAAGTTAAAATGAGATTTGTAACCTAAATTTGCCAGGGAAATAAATAATTTGGGTCTTTAAAAAAAAAATTATAAGGCTTTATTATGAAAAACATATCAATTGTTACCAGAACAGGCTTTATATTAAGCTTTGTCTTCCGACTTGAAAATACCACCAACTTCACGTTAAAACATTTGACATCTAGTGACACTAATGAAAATGAGGCACTTAAATATGTTCCCACACACGCTGTCCATGCATTGTGGAAATAGGAGGGTAAATTAAGCTGAATTAATCTTCAAACTCTACTGGAACATTCAGAGACCGAAACCAGACGAAGACACGTCAGCTAAAGGAAATAAGAGTAGCTAACCACTTCTATTTTCTCCCCCATAACCCCAAAAGGACGTGAGGTTAGTTGTTGCATAGTCCTGCTTGTATTATGTCTGTATTAGTTCCTCACATAAATACAACACAAGGCCTCGGAGGTTTGGTCCGGCTAGAGACACACACTTGGTCTTCAGTGGGCTTGTTGTTTTGGATTTCTCAGAAGAAGAGATGTGTGATTGAAAGGATAAGTAAGGCCTCTCTCATGCTGCCAAAAATATTTTTTATCTTTCACGACAAGATGGGTTAAAAATAGAGGAAATGTTTAATCTTGAAGGAGAAGAAGCTAGAGGAAACCAAAACCATCTTCTGGTTTACATTTGCATTTTTAGTAACATCATGTCAATGCTTTGGTTGAATAGAAGTACATTTCTTGATTAACCTGTCATTCACAGGTTGTCATTCACAATGTACAGGGGTGTCAAACTCCAGTCCTCAAGGGCCGCTGTCCTGCAGTGTTTAGATGTGCCACAGGTAAAAAACAGTGGAATGAAATGGCTTAATTACCTCCTCCCTGTGTAGATCGGTTCTCCTGAGCCTTGCTAGTGACCTAATTATTATTTTCAGGTGTGGTGCAGCAGAGGCACATCTAAAAGTTGCAGGACAGCGGCCCTTGAGGACTGGAGTTTGACACCCCTGTCACGAGGACCCAAATTTGGGTCCTCTCGTGAATGACAGGTTAAAGCTGATGAAACAAGTTTCTCTAATGATTCTTTTCATCTGTATTTGCAGACTGGAACTACAGCTCAGGGTATGTGACCCTTGACATGATCAAGGACCACATCCCTGCTGCGTCCAGAGATGTACTGATTGTCCTCTGCGGACCCGCACCCATGATCCGTAATGCTTGTCTGCCAAATCTGGAAAAGCTGGGACACACAAAGGAAAATATCTTTGCATACTAGACATATTCAACAAATCGGTTATTGTTTTTTTTTTTATAGGTAAAAAGAAAAATCTTAACGGCATGCAATTTTATTAAACGCTTAACCACCACCTAATCCAAGAGAGATTTGAAATAAAGTGTTGCCACATTTCACTTGTGCATGTAGCTTGTTTGTCCTATTGATGTTCTATAGCTTACTTTTACAGTCACTGTGTTGTCTGTAAAACTCACTATGCTTTAAATAAGCAAAGCTGCATTTCATTAGAATTTAACTTTCTTTTGTTTAATGCTATTTAATTCTGAAGGTAATAAAAATGCATGAAGTGCAATGAAACAAACTTGAAGTCTCTGGCTTTTAATGTCGTTAAGAACAGGAAAATCTGGTATAGCATGAGCTCAAGAATATCGTTTAATATGGGAGTCTTGCTTTTGTGTTCCTTTACTTGCACTGACAGATTTGTTATAATTAGTCAGAAACGCATGCAATTTGTTCTCAATTCACTGAAAAATTGTATATTTTTTATAATATGACTTATTTGACTGTTTTTCACTCCCCATTTTGAATGTGCCATATTTAATGTCAAGGTTTTTTTTTACACGTCCTCCTAAATGGATAAAGAGGAAACTTTTGGTGCTGCTTTTTTTTTTTTTTTTTACGAACATCCGTTTTTTTCGTTCCTACAGATAAGAAACACTTCGTTTTGCACGAAAGAGTTAATGACTATATATCCGACAACCCTGAACGCATCACGAGTAATGCTTGTGCTTCTCTGCGAACAATGTCGCCGTAGGACTTTGTATCCAAACTTTAGCGTTTATTTTGCAACTTTCTGCATGCTCGCTTATGGCATTGGGATAATTATGCCGTGTAAGGGAAGCGCAGACTTACTCGCAGCTATGCAGAGGATTTTAATCAGCAACTGTGTTCTTTTGGTTGTGTTATTCGGCCCAAACTTGCCGGTTTCTGAGAGTGAAGGAATCAGTCCGGAGAGATGTATCGTTTGGGGTCCAGGGCTGGATCCCGACGCAGTTTTACCAGTCCGATACTTCTTCATTCAGGCGGTTAGCTCTGAAGGAAGAAACCTGACTTTGTCACCAGGTAAACATCCCGAATACCCTCCACTTTGCGTGCTGTGCTCTTTTGTTAAACTATGCTAACCCACCGAACTGAAATTATGGATCACTGACTCTGAAGTTGGCATCTGATTCGCAGTGTCCAGTCCAAGTGCGAGACAAAAATATTTCGCATAAAATAAATGATTTAAAAATATTCTACTTTACCAGGTAAAATCTCTTCAATGGGTTTTTGTGAGAATGTATGCATTCCCTCTCTGTGCGCTGAAAACTCTTCCTTTAAATATTTCCACCAAGTTTCCTGATTTTATTAATGCACAACTTGAATGTAAACTCCAAACCACTGTGGAATTTAGCATGGCTTTGTTTTTCAACGTGATTTAAACATTTTTAGTGTCGATGCTGCCTTACATCTAAATTTCTCACTACAACCTTGGTTTTATTAATATACATCTATATGATCCTAAATCCAAAATTCCAGTCAGTTCTTTACAGCCACTCTAAAGTTATGAAATAAAACAAAAGCAAAGAATTTTCATGAAAAAAAAAAACACCTTTATTCTGAGCTGAATAAAAACTGGATAAAAACAAAATCTCAGTAGATGAAAGCATATAAAACCTACTGAACTATAAATCTACCACCAAATATCAGGATTTTGGTTAAACTTTACATCCTTACTTTAATTCTTCCATATAGACATGACCCAAAGAAACGCAGTGCTGTCAGAAATCTCATGTCCCGTTTTACGAGGATCTTCTTCAGTTTAGAATAATTCATGTCAGGATTGAGTTGTCTGACTAAGCCAGTTTTAAATAACATGAAATCCGTTTGTGTTCTTTAGGCAAAGGGACATTTAAAGTGAAGATAAGTCCTCTCAACAAGGAGGAGTACATCCGCATCCACGTTCCTCCGCCTCTGGACAGAGGAGACGGGTCGTTTCTGATGAGGTACCGCCTCTACGGATCTGCAGTCGAAGGTCTGAAGGTTGAAATCCTCCACCTGGACGCTGCTGTGGCCAAGTCGCCGTACGTTATCAAGGGTGCGTCTCAGCAGATTCTAATATTTTTTGGAGGATATTTGATATTTTGAAGTGTTTTTGTTGTTGAAGGGATTTTTCTGTTTGCATTTTTTTTAACAATAAAGAAAAATCTAATGCACCCGGTACGTTACACACAGGGTCAGTGTTAAGGAATGGACAAAAAAATAAAAATAAAAAATTACATTTAGAGTGTATAACCAAATCACCACACCATGTTACAAACCTGAACAGTCAGCTCTTAGACATATTAAAGAAACATACTGAAGTCCCTCTCGTAAGCGTGTTAAGAAAAGTTCACATTTTAGCATGATCTGGATTTAATTTCTGCCCATAATTGGTTGATATTGAACTTTTCTTTCCGCCTGAACGTTACTTTTGTCCCATTTCTTGTTGATCCCCAGGCCCAGTCTATCATGAATACTGTGACTGCCCTGAATCTGACGCCTCCGTCTGGCAGAGCGTCCTGCAGTGTCCTGCGAACGAGCCCCAGATTCTGGCCGACTTCCAGTCCTTCCCTGCCATCGACCTGCAGCATCTCAGACAGGAAGTGCCCCTCAGATTTTCCAACAGAGGGGGGCTCGTTCATTACGCCATCGTTGACAACAAGGTGTACCGGCGCACGCTGGGGAAATACACAGACTTCAAGATGTTCTCTGATGAAATGTTGCTGTCGCTGACGAGAAAGGTATAATTGTGCGGATCGATTGGCTTTTAAGGCCTGATTATCAGAATGTCGAGTTGCCATCTAATATGTTTTGTTGCTTAAGGTGAGAGTGCCCGACGTGGAGTTTTTCATCAACGTGGGCGACTGGCCTTTGGAGACGAGGACGGAGGGAGCTCTTCCGATCCTCTCCTGGTGTGGCTCCACGGATACGCGCGACATCGTCCTCCCCACCTACGAGGTGACGCACTCCACCCTGGAGACGATGAGAGGAGTCACTAATGACCTTCTGTCTGTCCAAGGCAACACAGGTAGCTGGACCGCCACACGGGAACACAGTTGATGGCTCGAAATGTGTGATGACTTGTTTAGAGGAAGCAACTCGTATCACTTTGTGGTAACTCTGGAGGAGCTAGGGAGATTGCCGCTCTAGCAGACTTTGCTAGTAGGACAGATGCATCCACAGATAAAAATGTGGCAAGATTGTGTTATACTTAATAGTCTTAGCAAAAGGCAAAGCGTTTTGGTGTGAAGCGTTACTATAACTCCTTCACATTCACATTTAAATGCTAGGAGTCAGAACTGAGTGATATTTCATAGATTTAAATTAAGCTCTTTCAGCTGTAGTCTGAAGTTGTCGCACAACGTTTCCAAATCATTTGCCAATGTATGAAAATTTAGAGTTCTGCTTATGTCATTAATGACCACTAGGGGGCATCAGCAAGTAAGCAACAATGTCAACTACTAACACCTAGTGAACAGCCATTTTCTGGAGCGTGAGCTTCAACTTGTGAAAATATTTTTTCGCACGAGGCTCAACGGGGGAAGTAAACCTACGTGAGAAAATGTAGAAGTACACGCTAGTTACTCCGGCTTTTGGTTAACAGATACAAATCTGAGTTGGATTTCCGTCTTTAAATTGAAATTTCGAAAGCAGATTTGGGACCACGTTGCATGAAACTTTGCGCCTCCTCTTTCAGTACAAGAACTTGTCCAATAGTTGAAAATGCAGAAACAACAGAAAACTTTGTGCTTCCTTTGGTACGGAACAATGCAGGATCTTTCACTAAATAAAAATGTCATCCTCCCACTTAGCTTTAAAAAAAAAAAAAGTATATTTTAAAATGATTCACTGTGAGTCTTCAGCCAACCCTATTTAAATTTATCTGAGTTAATATTGGTCATTATTGGGGACTTTGAGCTGCAGAAATTCACACTTTATGTGCACCATTTTCTTTATGGTCTTTGTCTTATTTTCTTATCCACACCTTAAATGTTTTTTTTTTTCTTTTACTAATTACAGAATTGAGAAAAGAACTTTAAAATCGACCCAAATCACAGAAAAAGAGCATTTTTCCTCAGTTTCTCTGCATGAAATTAGGAAAATGTAGTAATGGAAAGAGGAAGGGAGTTTTTCTCATTTCTAATGTACCTGTCGGTTGCGTATTTCTGTTTAGTTCTTTCTTTTAAATAATGCCGGTTTTCCTGCCAGGTCCCCCGTGGGTTAATAAAACTGCGCAGGGTTTTTTCCGTGGTCGAGACAGTCGGGAAGAGCGTCTCCATCTCGTGTCTCTGTCCAAGAAATCCCCGGAGCTGCTGGACGCCGGCATCACGGGGTGGTTCTTCTTCAGAGACAGGGAAAAACAGGTGGGCAAAGCACCGCTTGTGGGATTCTTCGACTTCTTCAAGGTGAGAAAACGTAGAAGTACACGCTAGTTACTCCGACTTTTGGTTGACAGATACAAATCTGAGTTGGATTTCCGTCTTTAAATTGAAATTTCGAAAGCAGATTTGGGACCACGTTGCATACGGTGAAACTTTGCGCCTCCTCTTTCAGTACAAATACCAGGTAAACGTGGACGGAACAGTTGCGGCGTATCGGTTCCCGTACCTGATGCTGGGAAACAGCTTGGTTCTGAAACAGGACTCGCAGTACTACGAACACTTCTACGGACATCTGAAGGCGGGCGCTCACTACCTTTCCGTGCGGAGAAACCTGTCGGACCTTTTGGAGAAAATCCAGTGGGCCAAAGAGAACGACGCCGAGGCGGCGGAGATCGCCCGGGCGGGACAGGCGGCGGCCAGAGATCTGCTGCAGCCCAGCCGGCTGTACTGCTACTACCACCGGGTGCTGCTGGCGTACGCCGAGCGCCAGGCGGGGCGGCCGACGCAGCAGGCCGACATGGAGCTGGTGCCTCAGCCGGACGATCACACGGCCGCATGTACGTGCAGGAGGGAAGGTAACAAAACAGGATCCAGTAAGAATGAACTGTGACTGCCCAACCGTAGTTAGTTACAGCTCCATTTTTTGTGGAAAAAAAAAAAAAAATCCTTGCTGACACGAAGAGGGAAGCTGATGAGTTTTACTGAAGTTTATAGGAAACTTTTCATACTTTTATATATAAAAAAAAATCTACAGGAAGTTGTGTATGTAAATAAAGAGGTTACTTTTCTAACTGTGCCTTTAAGTTAAAATGTATCACTTTAAGTTTACTTGAAATGCAGCGAAGTACAACATTTTTTTTTATGCCTGCGGGTAGAATTGTGTATGAGGTGATCTTTTTATTTGACCATATTTCTGACTAAAAGTTGTATTCATGCTTCAGAGTGGCCCAACCAGAGTCCTGACTGAAATCTGGGGAGGCAGATAAAAATTAGGGTGATGGAAACGAGGCTTTCCATCTTCACAGACAGTAGAGAGATATAGTCAAAACATCAGTGGAAACGTGGAAGGAGATGCTCGGCTAACAATAATGTTTTGATGGCAGCAATGCCAATAAAGATTTTTCCAATCATTGAGAAGGATATCGTTTTGTTGTTGTTTTGTTTTTTGTTTTTTTCCAATGCCATTTAAAAAAAAATAAAATTAAAAATGAAAACTTTTTTTTTTTTGCCTCCAAGTTTTTAAGGAATGCCTGCCTCAGTTCCCGTATGAAACGGTTTTCCTGGTTGAAGGAAAAATAATTGTAATTTGAAATCTGCCCAATAAGTTTGGGCTTAACCACGTGGTAGATAGAATCCAATTAAATAAAAGTTGTTTTCATTGCTTTCAAAATGGTAACCATGCACAGAATCTAAACAATGAGTCCAAATCAAGGTTTAATATACACCGTTGCATCCTTAGCTGAAGGACACCGACACAGTATGCTGCGCTTTTGGAAACTTGGAAGTTTAATTGAAAAAGAAAATCAAAGTAACAAGTTGAAAAAATTTAAATGTCATTTTAGATCCATCTGTGCAGACCCCATTCTACTACTTAAATCAGCAACTTTGTCACAAAATGCCAAATTTATTAATGACTTGAGTTATTATTGGTTTCTGTGGACTTTTCTTGTGTCATTTCCTCCTAATATGTTGGTAATGCTTCACATTCACACAAACTGCTAATGCAGCCTTCAGCTGGAGCTGTTGCGGTCTAAACTATTTACAACAAGAGCCTCCTTAATATTAGGATTAACATTTATTTAACACTTGTGCAAACAATAGCAGTCACTGTAAAATTAACTGGGCTTATGCTGCAGTCTTACTGTGCACAGTTGAACTAATACATATTTCTTAGACAAGCAATGCAATTACCTCAGCGTGTATTCCATGTTGTAAAGCCTGTTATGGTCGTAGGTGCTTCAATGTACTCCTGAAGTATCCCATGTGTGAACATTGGTGCTGTTGGTCGCACAGTGGTGTGATTAGACATGGAAACTAAACAAAATACATTTTGCGCGACAGCAGGTAGTTCAGTGGAAGAGCCAGTCCACAGTGCAAAGAGGCGACGGTCCTCGACACGCTACGCCAGGTTCCATGTCCTCTCTGCCCTTCTTCCTGTCAAGCTGCTGATGAATAAACGCTACGAGTGACACAAATCCTTTTCTAAAGACACACTTTGTGACCAACTTGGCAGCGAATCACATATTGCGAGACTAACTTGAAGTAAAACCAAAAGCCATGTTAAGTCATCTCTTATAAAAGCGCCTCGTGAGACGGACTGTAATTCTATCTGCAGCTGGTAAACATATTAAAGTTACAAAGCCACTTCCTGCAACCTGTCTCTGCATACTGCAGTAGGCAGGTTGTTGACTGTATGTGGTTTTCATTTTTTTATTATTATTATTAACATTAACAAACATTAACAAAAACAGACTTTTTACATATTTGAAAAGAGTTATGTTTTACTAGAACAATTTTGGGACAAATGGAAGGGATTACCTTCATTTGTAATGGGTAAAATAGATGGTAATAGTAAAAGTGCACAGTGTTTTGTGCACAATTAGGACTTTTGAGGTGCAGTTAATTCACAATTTTACATGCATCTTAAAGTTTAGGACAAAGTAAAGGCCAAAATTGTTGAACATCAGAACCCTAGAAATATTTCACCCTTATTATTTATTACTTTTTCCTTTACTTGATCATAAGAAAAAATGTTACAATTATTTTTTTGTTTTAAGAGCTACTTTCATTTTTTTCTTTCATTTGATATCATTTCCAATGAAGGAATTAAGTCCACAGTGATAAGTTTGAGTTTTCTGCTAGTTTATGCAGCCAACATCAGATACTTTCTTGTTATATTTTTATTTTGAGCCTAAACTGTAAATGAGTACAGACTTTTCTCTTTGCTCTATAAAGACTCTAATTCGTGTCAGTTTGGCAATCATAACCTCCTTCGTTACCATCTTCTCCACTCTAAACCGCTTTGTATGCTAAATATTTATAAATCCATGGATTCATAAAATATTTACTGAGTTAACTGAGAATTAGCATCATGTTTGTCCTACACCCCATTGACTGGGAGGTTTTAATCCACATATGGGATTTAGTTTAGTTTGTTTTTATTTAGCTCTAAATTACAACAAATGTCATCTCAAGAAACTTTACAAGACAAAGTCAAGTTTATATGGAGTTATGTCGGTTTAAATGAAATATAAATCCATCCAATGATAATCCAGAATAATCCAGTCACATTCAGATTCATCTATAGTCCAATATGACCTAAATCATACAACAGAAGTTCAAATAAATAGTTTATTACTGTAGCCTTTATGTCTTTATACTCCTAGCAGCCATATCTGATGTCATGGTTGGGAAGGACCCACAAAATGTTGAAGTTGGAAATCAATTTGTCGCTCTAGCGTGTTTTTCTGAATTTGAAAATTAATGGAATGCACTATAGTGAGGATTTCCAGACCGAATCAGGAAAACCAACATGCTGTAATTTCCAGTGTCTTTGTTTTAGACTAAGTCAGCTGTTGTTAGGAATACAAGGTGTTAGCTGTCGATTTACGTACATTTTATGCATTTAACTAGTAAACAACATGCTCACTTCTTCTTGACCAATTTTAAAACCGACTTCTACTGCTTTGCAGCCAACAGCTACGGATGTGATCTAACTAATGCAGCGCTTTACTTTACTTTTATAGTGTATATCTAACCTGAACCTTCTCAGTGGCCGTCTATTTTTATTGGCCGATAAACTTCCTACATTAGTCCTAACTGCATGTGTCAGTTCCTCAAATCTTCAGCTGAATTTAATCATTAGAGTGAGCGCTTCATCTGTTTTCTTTGTGAAAACGGCCTGCATCATTCCCAAGGGCGAATGGAAACACCTCGAACCTTTGAAGAAGTTCTCAAGTAGAGCTCTGTCTATTGTGTCACACTTTCCAACAGCTGCCGCAAAGTTGTTGCTCAGGACGCCGTAGATATTTGCCTTGTCATCCCTTCTTCCAAAGAACAAGAAGAGGGCGTAGCAGTCCTTGCCGATGGACGTGCAAAACTCCACCATGCACTCGTACGCGTTCTTGTTCCTGGACTCCGTCCTGGCCATCTGGATGGACTCGCTGACGGGCTTTCCGGCGGTGGCTTGCTCTTCAGCTTCCTCTCTTTCGGGCAGGTGGAGGACCTGGACTGCGATCTGTACTTTAGGGTTCTTGGTGGGTTTCTCCAGGATGGCCCAAACCCAGTCGGCTCCCAGGAGTATGCGCTGCTCGGGTGTCATGGCCGTGCAGTTGAAGGTGTCGGTGAGGTCGAGGTTAACGCTTTGAGTGATGTAAGTCATCAGAAAGACCTGTTGGGAGAAGGACACCTTTCAATACCTGCATTCAACAAAAGTGTCATTTCCTGAGAGTTTTGACCGAGTATTTAAGTGATCTGTACTGCCACCTGAGTTAATGCCAGAGGACTCGGCTGTAGCTTTCCCTCCGGATCTTTGAAGACCAGGTACTCCTGGGTTCTGGTTGATGCAAGAGAGATGCAGTTGCTAATAAGACGTGTGAAATCGTTGGGGCTGACTGGCGACATGCTGCTGTCCAAGGAGGGCTTTTGGGGCGAGAAGCGTTTTATAAAGGAGAAGAAACTTGAGTTCCGCTTATCGTTAGACGTCGTGCTGCTAATCTTCTGTCCCATGTTCGAAGCTCAGACGAGGACAGAAGATCAGAGGCTGGTCTCTCTGATGCACTGAAAGAAGGAATTTGTTTAAACTACAAGTAGTTATATGTTCCTATGGGGGGAAGACTTGTATGCTGAACACCAAATAATTTGATCTGCCATTGACGTATCTTTACTCACCAGGATGGGTCTTGAATTTCCTCCAGTATGGATTGCTGTGCCTGTTTTTGGCTCCTGTCTGCTGCCCTGCTGAGATACACAACGTCTAGATGCGCGTCAGCCCGTGTGCCGTTCAATGTAAAGCAGGGACGATCTTAGGTGCTCGACTTTTAGACGAATACAGACGGTTCGCGGGAGGAAGAGTTAAAACTGCGGCAGCTTGGGTGTGGCGTTTGCAGCTTGGTAAGTCAACAAAAGATTCTTGTTACAAGTTAACTGCCATCGGCATTAGAAGGTTTCGATCGGCAAACAAAATGCTTAGCTGTCCCATTTAAAGGAAACACAACTGAAGACATTTGAGTCAGAACGCCAGTTTTTAGTTTTCTGTAACTTTTTTTTGTCATTTTTGGCTTTATTTCTTGGTACTGTACCCTCAGTAAGATCCTAATTATTAAAAGGTGGCCTGTATGAATAGTTCTGTAACATTCACATGGACTCATCTCGATTCCCTTGTCTTTCAGCTGTTCTCTGGACCTTTAGGTTGAGTTTATGTGGCTGCCACCGAGCTCAGATCGTTTCCCCTCCATTGCTGCGCCCTGGTTTTTATGAGGCTGTCTGTAGCCATCACCTTATCCATGGTTCTAGCGGCGCCTTGTCTTCGATTCACGTTAGTTTTTTTTCCACAGAAGCACAAAGGCAGAAGAGTTTGCACACATCCACAAATAATAGACAACAGATTTGGTAAACTTTTGTCTAGTTCAATGACTCAAGATCATCTACAACCTTCAGGTCAGAATATGGAGTAAACATCTTGGAGGAACAAAGCAAGACGTATAGTCAAATTTCAACAAACTGATGTTTATTTTGGGTAGTTTTAGGCATCGAGTCTTTGTTTTAATTGAAATCTGCTTTTTGTCCATCTTAATCTCATCAGATTCCTCTTTAGCTGACCTGTGTTTCCTCTGATGAGCCAACAAAAAATGTACACATCGCAGTGGTCAGTATAAATAACACAATATATATATATATATACACACACATTGACAACGGCTGCATTGCATCGTTAAAATCGGAAAGCTGTTAAAAATCTTTTAAACGTTTGTAAGAAGCCGCGGCTCTTCGCTGGCATCCAAAGGTGTTTGAGTCGGCCTGCGTTTCCAGTTTCTCTGTGTCCACAGGAGGACTGCAGGTGTTACATGAGGTAGCAGTGGTTACAGGAAGTGAGCGGGACCGACTCCGCGCTGCAGTGTGAGGCCCGCGGGGCTGAGCCGGCCATCGGGTCTGGTAAGCCGATGGCGCCGGAGCGTTCGTCCCCTCACACCAGCGCCGTTTGTGACCGCCTCAGCTCCCTCCGCAGCTCGTCCTGGCTCAGCAGGTACTGCAGGCAAAGCATCATGGGTGTGTGGGAAGGCGTCAGAGAGGCTGGGCTTTGCGTTTGCAACCGAGTTGGGATCAGCTTATGCATTTTTAGAGCACTGATCAAATGAGAAGGCAAGGCGCTTTTTTTTTTTTTCTTTAATGCAAGTTCATTTATTTGACAAAACATTTGTAAAGAGAAAGATTTGAAGGAGGAAACCTGATGTATGAAAGTGACTTGGAGTTTAATATATGAATATTTACTGTATTAGTTTCTTTTTTGTTCTTTGCTTGTAAGGCAAGACTTTCTTGTAATATTTTGAACTCAATAATTCTCCAGGATCTTTTAAAGACTGAATTGATGAACTAGTGCTATTTTAACACACAAGGCAACTTAGCATTACTTTTAATTGGATATTTTGATCTCTTTTTGTTACCAGTACACTGTTGGTCAGAATTTGTTCTTGTTGCTTTAGTTGAATTAAAAAAAATAAAAAATAAAAAAAAGACACTTTACCAGAAATACCACAGGATGTTTGGACTATGGAGGTAATTTTCTAATGATTATTAGCTGAAAACTTCCAATTAGCAGTTCTCAAACTTTTCATAACAAATGCTACAGCAGGACTCAAAAAATGCTTTTCAATTAAAATAAAATTATATTGCCTTTTTTTTTGCAATCAGGCTCTAGAGAGATTTCTGAGGCTGCAAAAGGAGCAACTGCCATCTCTGGACAAGTTCATGGTTCCTCACTGATGTGCATTTCTCTTTCCATTTTGTAAAGAAAAGCCAACTGTCATCTTTTAGAAAAACCATGAGCATTGTTTGCATTCAAGTTGTAAAGCTGTCCCAATGTTCACTTATCTTGGCATTTGTGTTGGTGTTTAAAAACACTTCTATTTGGGTTTGGGTACAAACAAAGGAAGCACATTTTGACTGTTTTCAAACTGGGTTAAACAAAAAGGTTCTCCTGCCATCACTCACATTAAGCATTTGGCATGATATGGTGAGTTAATATTCATCAGTACAAATGGAGTGTCTGCATAAAACAGCATGAGATTAAGTTATGTTATTGGATTAATGTTGCAACATTTGCACTGCATTTACAGAAAGTGAAGTATATCTACAGTGCATAAACACATTTCAACCTGTAACCCTCAAAATATTGAGAATGTGTCAAAGAAATCTGTGACTACATAATGACTACATTATCTACTCTGTTCTATTTTATGAATGGTGTTTGTTTCTTTCTTAAACACACACCAGTCAACAAGCTGTATAAAAGTGGCCAAAATCCAAAGAAAAACTGGAGAATTGTTGATCAAAATCACTTAAGATAACAAGTCTAATAAATTTGAACTGATCCCAAATCGGTTACACAAACAAAATTATTTTAGCAATGACCTGATTTTTTACTAAAATGTGAAATGAGCGTTTTTGTTATGGCAATCGCTCAAATTTTCAAGATGTCAAGGCTTCATTAAGGCTGTCATGATCTAAAACAGAACCAAAGCAAAAGAACCACAGGTGACTGTCGGCAGCTAACAAAAAGTACCACATTGTTTTCTTGTAGAAATGGTGCTACAGTCTTATTTTCACAGTGTTTTGTCATTCTGCTGATCTATTTTTTTTTTTTTTTTTCAAAATAATCAGCAGAAGTTTCCATCTGAAAGATTCGAGCTTCTGCTCCTGCAGACAATAAGCAGCAAGCTGCAGGAGACATTAACCAGCAGCTTGTGTGTGTTGGGGCTTACTGTGAGGTTGTTGATGCTTTCAGACAAAGCTTCTATTTGTAAAATGGTGCTCTCTGCTTTCACCATCTGTAACACACACACACACGCACACCTGTAACAAGTCACTATTGTAGACATACATGGCTTCCAATAAAAATACTTGATTGTAATGCATGAATGCAGTTCCAGACAGAAGTCTGTGTCTTTTCATCATTGACGTATATATCGTATTCGTTTTGAATTTTTTTTAACTACACAGTTAAACTCCTGTTTACTCTGTGTGCTGGTGATACAACAAACATGTCCAGTGATTTTTAATAAAACAAATTTGGTGCCTTCATTGCAGATTTTCTCAAATTCCCACAGCAGAGTGAAGTAACTCATATCGGCTCAAACTTGTACATAAATGCCCACCAGTATTTGGATTTAAAATCCATTTGAGTTGCCTCTCGACCACATGCTTTTTGTAGCCATCAACAACCTTTCAGCACATTTATATCTGGATATTTAAATGCTTTTTGTGGTAGAATTGCTGAGGTTTATTTGCATCGCTTGGTTTCATGAGTCCAAAGTTTAGTATTCTAGCTGATTAGAGATTAATTTGAATAATTTATGTCCTTCTCCATTTTTCCACCCACTTTGTACAAAACCGACCATGCTGCTACTCCCACCGTACAGTTATGCTGTTGTAATGTTTAAAAACCTTGCAAAGGTGGCCCAGAATTGCTCCTTGCTGAAGCGGTTAAATGCTCAGTCTTCACTCCGTTTGACCGTAAAATGTTTTCTCCAAAAAAACATTTAGCACAACCAAATGGTCAGCTGCAAATTTTTTCAGCTTGAAGGCGTAGAGTTTAGCTGAAGTTTTTTGTTTTGTTTTGTTTTTTAGGTCAGCACATTCCCACTCACTGATCAAATAAAATTCAGTCTTGGGCATGTCACTCTAGTATTTGGGTTATCAGGCTCGTGTGGAACGAATTTTTCAATACAACCTCAGAAACCCAAAAACGAGTGGCATTCATGCCAGTGAGTGCACGTTAAGCTTTTGGCTGAAACTGCATGTGCAATCTGAAATGGAGGTAAAATCCTACTTTGCTGACTGGAATCGGGATTTTTGTACCTGCAGCCGCATTGTGAGCCATGCTCATGCACTTCCATGTCACCTTTAGCAGGTACGCCATGGTGTTCAGGGCTCTGACTGGTTAGTGGAGGCTGAAGGCATGATGGCCACTGCGATGATGAGGATGGTAAAGATGAAAGCAGGTTAGTGGTTGATGCAGACTGCTGAAGCATGCTGCCACAGTAAATTTGTCTTTTTCTTCATTTGATGGTGGAAATGTATAATGCAATGTGATTCGTGAAGAAATACTATAAAAATGAGACGATGTAGAAAGAAGAGACAAATTTTACACACAAGATTTATTTTACTTAAATGATTTTTTTTTTTTATAAATCTTGACATTTACAATTTTATCTTAGCAAAATGTCTTTGCTATAAAAATACTATTACACTCAGTTATGAAAATAACGGTATAAAAATCAACAATCGAGGTATCAAACAAAATATGCTGTAGTATCATTAGTCATGTAGTGACATAAATATTAAATAATATCCCTCCATATATTTTATGCAAATATTGCACAAGTTCCTCTCAGACTGATAGAAAAAAATAAAAAAAATCATGCAGAGGCCGACTTCTATTGAAAAACATCTACTGGTGGCGCATGACAGCCTCAGAGTGTTCAGTAAGGCCGTTCATGTACGTTGCATGAATTTTTGGAGTTGATGCAACAGGAGTCCAGAGAAAGGCCTTGCCTTCTTGCGATGGATGGGTTAGGTGATTAGGCGAATGTCTGAGGTCGAGTTAGTGAGGCTTATTGTGAATCAGATGTTTATCGGAGCGTTTCCAGGTTTCTGGAAGAGCGAGGCACAGGGTCGGGGGTGATGGATGGAGTCTAAGGGAGCAGGGAGAGGTCGGGCTGCAGTCAAAGGAAGCAAAGCAGCAGCAGTAGGGGATATCTGATTGGATGATGGACAGCTCGAGAGTGTCCGTGGCGTTATCGCTGGGGTTATTCATGGTGACGTGTCAGCTTTGCTCTCCTTGTGCCCCACCTGGTCCCGGGTGGGCTCTCGGTCCAGAATGGGACTCAGACCTCTAAAGCCGGCGTACGGACACATCTGCACCCCGTTGGCCATGGACTGTCCTGACTCGGGCGACGAAGTCTCTATGGGACAGACGTAGTCTGTGGACTCGTCCGGCCGTCTCCTCCTCAGGTTTGTCAACTGAGAAAAGCCCAACTTCTTTGGCTGTAGCAAGGAGAGAAAACAAACAAA